CAGAGTTTCATTTTCTTTTTTGCAGTTTTGGAGATTTTTTGAAAGTTGGTCAATTTCAAATCTCATTACTTCCTGTAAGTTGTCATAGGAATCTTGTAGGCAAGCTTGGCTCTCAAGAAGCTTTTCATGTTCTAATCTTTACCAGGAAAACATTTTGCAATAGTAAACACACAAGCATTCAATATTTTTATGAGTCAGATTATCTGCACTTAAATTTATTCTATCAACAAACCACTGCCAACTTACATAAACCTAATGAACACACACACATACATAAATATGCATGTGTTTGTGGTGTAAACAGTGTATATCAAGTAAGCGAAATAATTCAAGAAACAACACTACTGTTGTGCTGACTCATTCAGAGGCCACACAGCACCCGAGTGCCACATTAGAGAATAAGCAGTCCAATAAGTGAATTATTCAATGTTAGACCAGAAACAATGAGAAAGAATAAATTGTGTCCAGTATATTTAAAAAGCCAGGACATATTTAATACTTTTAAGGTAAATTTAAAAACCTAAATATTATGTATTCTTTACATTTTTGATGTAGGCCCACTCTGATAAGTAAATATAAGGATAATAAGATCCAATGAGATTAGTAGAGTGACTTAAGAAAAAAAAAAATCACACAAAACTAGTTTGTAATAAAGCCAACATTATACTCAGTGATTCAGAGATTAAAACAAATGCCAGATATAATAAAAGGTGTGCAGCTATAATAAATTACTAAAAATTACTACTTTGTCGAAGCAGTTTGAATTGGGTTTATACCACCTGCACGTCACATCATCCTGAGTTACAACCCATCAGGCACCTTGAAACCATCACACAACAACTCTACCTGACGTGGCTCAGCTGAAGCTGTACATGCACGTGTCTTTCAGACAGCTCGTTGAATTCTTTTTCCTGACTCTTTTTGAATGAACTATACTCCAGTTTTACTGAAGAAAGCTCCTTGTCAGCAGAATGAAGAACTACTCGCAGGTCACGCACCTCACTTTTTAAAACTAAAAAACAAAACAAGTCCTCAACAGGTTTCATCACAAATTTTTTTTTATAAAGTACACGAATATATTTGATGATTCCATTAAGGACAGATATTGAATCAAGTGGTGGTACCCAAGAGACCTGAGATTTTTGTTTCATCTTCTCCCTACTGCATAGCTCTTCCTACATTTCTAGTTAAAGAAGAAGAGTTAACATCTCTCCCTCACTTACAGGTCACTTGACTTTTCTAGATTTCTCCTGTAAAATGTGCATCAAAACTCTTAAGAAAGAAACATCATGAGGTCTAACAAATTTCAAGTGACTTTATCTTAGTTATTGAAAATCTTTTGGTGATATACCTGAACTTTTCAATATGGGCTAAACACCTCTGGTCTTCCAGGGAAACTCCAACTGTAATATCAATTAGGTAACTTTTTAAATTAAAAAACAAACAACAGAATAGCTATTTTTGTTGCTGCTGTGTTAGCTTTACTGTAAACTACTGTATAAACTCTGATAAAGGGAGAAATAAGAAATGAGTGAAAAAACTGGGAATTCAAATGATGCTCCCAAAATTAAAAAAATAATGCTTTGTCAATATTAAAACACTCATAAATTGAAGATACTTCATTTTCAAAGCAGTTTAATTAAGATGCTAAGCAAACATCTTTGTCATTTGTTTATCAAAAGTAATAAAAGTTTCTTTTTATAATATATTATCGTCACCACTGTCATGTAAACTCAAGTATGGTTGTCTAACAATAAAACAATCCAACCCCAAAACACAGGACCACATTTATTTAAATGAGTAAAAAGACGCTGAGGTTACAGTATTCCTTCAGGTCACAAAACTCCTAACTGTTCAAACTTACAATCATTCTCAGTCTGAGTCTCTTGAAGCAGCTTTTCAAGGACATTCAACTGTGAGAGACGCTCTTCTTGCTGTTTGGTCCAATCAGTTCTTTCTGATGAGAAAAGCTTTGGGAAAGAGATATGTTTACTGGAAAAGGAATACTGGTGGGGTAAGACAGTTTAAAATCATCAGTTTATTTCTGTTTTTTTTTTTTAATCCCCTCTAGTATTTGGGATTGAACCCCATCTCGTGCATGCTAGGCAAGCACTCTGCCACTCAGATATATCCCCAGACTTTATTTTTATTTTGTACTATGTTGATACTAGGGATCAAACCTAGGGACACTTTACCTTATGCTATATCCCCAGCCCTTCTGATTTTTATTTTGAGATTTGCTCAAGCTGGCCTTGAACTTGCAATCCTCTTTCCTCAGCCTCCTAAGTAGTTGGGATTATAGGAACATACAAAGTAGTAGGGGTGTATTATTACTGAGATACATCTCAGAACATTAATTTTCATATTGAGACAGGGTCTCACTAAATTGCAGAGGCTGGTCTCAAACTTGTGAAACTTCTGCCCCAGACTCCCAAGTCACTGGAAGTACAGGAGTGTGCCACCATGCCCAGCAAAGGCTGTTTTTTTTTTTTTTTTTTTTTTTAGGGGGGGTGTTGGTACTGGGGATTGAACCCAAGGATGCTATATTACCAAGCCACATCCCCAGCCCTTTTTTATATTTTATTTAGAGCAGGGTCCTGCTGAGTTACTTAGGGCCTCGCTAAGTTGCTGAGGCTGAGTTTGAATTTACTATCCTCCTGCCTCAACCTCCTGAGTCGCTGGGATTATAGGCGTGCACCACTGTACCCTGCTAAGGCTGTTTTTCAAGTCTAATTTTTTAAGGTCTCTGACAAGAAAAAATCTGGCTATTCCAGGAATCACTGTGAAGAGAAACAGAGTGTAAGAATGTGGATGGGCCATCTTGTTTTCTTCTCAACAAACAGAATGGAACTGACAAATTCAGTCAATGTCAACATCTGCCTTAAGACCAGAGTAGTCTTCAAAGTTAAAGTTGATCAAGGATCTGTGAGGGCATTTTTGTCCCATAATGCTCTACTTTGAGTGCTCGTTTCACACACTGACTGAGGCCAAGCTCCCAGGCTCACCTCCTGCATTTGTGCCGAATGATGCTCCAGTTTGTCAATATGCTGCTGAAGCTTCAGGTTTTTATGCTCTTCCTCATCTAGCTTGACTTGAAGAGCACTCATTTGTTCCTGCAATACACAAATTTCAGTCCATGAAAACTCTTTTAATGGAATTCACATACCATCACCATTTCTTTTTAATTAAAGAGAAAAGAAATCAAAAGTGAACAAGCTTAAAACTCCATAGGAATAAAGATAGCAAAGGTCTGTTTGAAGCCAGAAAACTTCAAAAGCCTATCCTGACAATTTCTGATGTTTCAGAATTACTCGTGTGTGCTCCATCAAAGTAGATAATTTAAACCCAAAGAATACAAGGGATTAGAATTAAAACCTAGAGGCATCTTGAGACTGCTAAAAGCTTCCTCAGAGACGCCTGGGACACTTCAGTAGGAAGACCTCAATGGCTTGGAAGGATCAAATTACTGGGATTCAAGGTGATCTGGTCCACTCCAGGTTTTACCGAACAGAATTTTTTTTTTTTTTAATTTTCAAACCAGAATTCTGAAATAATCCAATTTCACAAGTTATTACAAATATATGAAAAGCTGTCTAAAATTTGATTTATACTAAAATTCTGTGTCAAATATCTGAACTTTCTTTAGCAGATAAACCACATAAATCAGTTTTGAAACTTGAAGCTTGCAATTATGGTCATTTTACACAGGGGAATCAAAGTCCATGAAGAATAGAGAATGATTTTCTGAAGACTGCAAAATGAATTAAAAGAACAAGATTAGATTGGTTTCTAAGCTAGTGCCCTTTATACACTCACACTTAACACTACAAATTTCAGGGAGTTAAAATGATAGACAAAGAAAATTATTTAACTGAATGTCTAATTATTTACCTTTTTAAAACCTAGAACATTACCTGCACTTTTTTAAGCTCTTCAGAAATGGCCTCAAAAGCTTGTTCATTCATCTCAGGTGGAACTGGTTCATTTAATATATCATTATCTAATATGCTAGAATTACACACAAAGCTCCCCATTTCAGGGCTTAATTTTGGTACTAATCGAGAACGAAGTTGATAAGCCTTGGTTGGTGTAGTTATAATCTGAAAAAAAAAATGATTATGGAAAACAATATTAGTACACATGAAAAAAATAGCATATTTAGTAATTTTATGAAGAGAGAAGACAAAAATTAAAACCTGTAATTCCAGCTACTCAGAGGTTAATGCAGGAAGTTCACAGGTTCAAGGCCAGGCTGGATAACTTAGTGAGACCCTATCTCAAGATGAAAAAATAAGAAGGTCTAGAAATACAGCTGAGTGATCGAGTGTACCCAGCTTCAATCTCTAGTATTAAGAAAAAAAATGAAATCTATTCAAAAGAAAGGAAAAAGTGTCCCTGAAGAAATAGAAGACATGACTAAATAGAAATAATTTTTTAAAACATTTTTTAGTTGTCAATGGATCTTTTATTTTATTTATTTATATGCGATGCTAAGGATGGAACCTAGGGCCTCACACATGCCAGGCAAGTGCTCTAACACTGAGCCACAACCCCAGCCCTAAATAGAAATAATTCTATCAATTCAATACAGTTCCAGCAAAATTCTAATAAGGTTTTAAAAAATGAAACTTGGTAAATTGATATCCAACTTTGTATAAAGAATAAATGTACAAGACACACTTCCCATCCAATATAAAGTCACATTATAAATAGGGTATAATTATTAAAATAGTAATTTAGCATGTTATAGTCAAAAAATTGGAAAAACATACAAAGTCCACAAACAGAATGATTTATGTGTAGAGATTTCAAATTAGTGAGAAAAACATGGATTTTTTAAAAAGTTAAATCTTTCTACTACCATTCAAAAATAAAATAAAAGGTATACAAAGATCTCACTAATTTGAATGTATTCATAAAGATAAAAGGTCAATAAGCCTGGATGCATCAAAAATGAAAAACTACCATGTAACAAAAATATCACATGCAAAGATGAAAGACAACACCATGGCCAAATATATTGACAATGTATGTAAGAAACAAAAGATTAATATATAAAAATGCCAACAAATTCCAAGAAAAAGATAACTACCAATAGAAAATGAGCTTTTTTTTCTCTACAGAGAAGGATAATACAAATGGACATGAACATATGAAAAGACATTCATCCCCACTAGAAGTAAAGTGGGAACTAAAACCTTAAAAAGATCCTGATTTTCATGCATGAGATTGTAAGAATTAAAGAGCCTGATGATGTCCATTAGTGGGATGGTGTTCTTCTACCAGGAGGCAATTGGTGCTACCCCAGAGGCAGCTCGAGCAGGCCTGGCTCATTTCTAACACAACCACTTTTCCAATCCCAGAGAATGTGTGCCCTTGGAAACCACCTAGAGTCACGAGTCATCCAAAACGTGGAAGTGTAGGTTTAAAGTGAGGTAGCACTCTGGGTACTAGTTAATATATAAAGATCCAAGGCATATGTTGGACTTACTTAACTAAAGCATATTGTAGAATAACATATGCAAATTGACTTCAATTTTTTTAAAATAGAAAAAAAAAACAAACTATAAAACAACTCTACATGTTTTCTCAGTCCATGCATATTTGCTGTACAAACACCAAGAAAAAGGATTAAATTAATTCCAGGAGTATAAGATAAAGGACCAGATTGAACTAGACTGGCAATGGTGCTCCAAAAGAACTTTTAACATTAACTTGTAGTTTTAAACCATGAGAATGTATTTATAAAGTTACTGATATGATTTAAAATAAACAACAACCAAAGATCTGAATTGCTATGCCACTCTTCCCTCAACAATTCTACTGTGCTAAGGAGCCACCAAGGATTACAAAACAATTGATAATATTCTTTAATATTTTATTTCCTGCAAAGAATTCAAAGGTCATTTTTTAAAATTTTTTTGTTTTAGTTGTAGATGAACACAATCTCTTTATTTGTTTATTTTTATGTGGTGCTGAGGATCAAACCCAGTACCTCACATGCGAGGCAAGTACTCTATCATTAAGCTGCAACTCCATCCCCCCACCAAAGGTCATTAAAAAAAAAAAAGCAAAGATAAAATTCTAACTTTGTAAAGAAAATAGGATTTTGTACGTTAAATGAATCATGATATATCCATATAATGGATTCTTTTGCAGCTACCCAAACAAAAAAGCAAAAAAAAAAAAAAAAACACAAACAAACAAACAAACAAAAAAAAAACCAAGAATGACAAAGTTCTTTTTCCCCTTCTGACCTGGGACAAACTCTAAAATATATTAAGCTAACATTCCCATCAACAGCATCACTGTCTCAAACTTTTACTTTCTTTATATAGTCCTCCCCCACAAATTCCTTACTGTCAGATGCTTGCACATTTTTTCTTTTATGAGGAGAAATTATTAGAGGACCCCATCCCCCATTATTTCCAAGTATTATGTGTGATAATTATATGAGTACTTTATGAACATATTCTCCTAGTTTAGTGTTCTTTGCACACATTACATTACAGCAATGACTGCCATTTATTGAGATCTAGAGGACTAGGCTCTTTATCAATAATGTTACTACTCTAAAAACCCTTCATCTGGGGTGGGGATGTGGCTCAAGCTGTAGCGCGCTCGCCTGGCATGCGTGGGGCCCGGGTTCAAGCCTCAGCACCACATACAAACAAAGATGTTGTGTCCGCCGAAAACTAAAAAATAAATATTAAAAAAATGTTAAAAAAAAGAAAAACAAAACCCTTCATCCTCAGTTCAGAGGAAAGAAAGGTAGGGCTAAGAAGTTAGAAAACCCTGCCTAAGGTTAATGGCTGGTGAGAATTTGATCCCAAATGTTGTATTCATTGCTCCCTGGCCCTACTACTGGAGGTATACATAAGAACACCAGTCAGTGTGACCCTGAGGTTAACCTCTGTGAAGGATGCCACCTATGTCTGGAGATAGACCATGTAGACTCTCTCCATTATGAATACAAAAGAGGGGCTGGGCTTATGCTCGTGGCAGAGCCTTGCCTTGCACATATGAGGCACTGGGTTCAATCCTCAGCACCACATAAAAATAAATAAAATAAAATAAAGATATTGTGTCCATCTTTAAAAAAATCTTCAAAAAAAAAAATACAAAAGAGATAAGCACTAACTTAACATGGGACCGCTGCTTCAGATAACCTACCTTAAGTGTTTCAGCATGAATTTTATTCAGTTGAGAAACTTCTTGCCGCTTGCAGGCTTTTGTTGCGTCCAAAAGGCTTTCAAGATTAAGGTTTGCTTTTTGCAAAGCCTGAAGCTCTGATTCCAATTCTAGCTGCCTTTTCCTAATAGATATTGTAAAACAGTACTTCAGGTTAATAAGCAAGTCAAACACTTGTAAAGTACTTTATAGTTTATACTACAAACATAAATCAGAAATATTCTCTCAGGATCATTACCTTCATTTTCCAGCTGGGTAATATACTCAGGGACTCAAAAATGTTCAAAGAACTCAACTACTAAATAGTAGAGCTCAAATTCAAGGGCCTAAATAGTCCACGACGATGATGACAACATAAGTGATGTCATTTTAAAAGCAAACTGTTCTTTATAATTTAGGATAGGATTCATCTTAATTTATATCAATGTGAATTGTCTTGTTTTTCTTTTATACAATGAGCATCAAGAATACTAACAAACCCAGAACTTTTAAAAATCTAGATTCAATTAATAACTATAAATTTGGTTACAAAATAAAGAATTTACTCAGCAAGTTCAATTGACAATATGTTGCTTAAAACATTTATCATTTAGTTCATTAGATACACCATAAAAAAAAGACAAAAAGCCCTTTTTCTTTGTGTCAAAACAAGTTAGGTGCTAATAATAAGAATTTAATATTTAAAGTAAAATGCCCATTTAAATTGTGAATATTAACATTACCACAAATCAACACTAGAACAGGCAAGCACACATGTGTAGTCACACTTTACCGAGTTAGTTCTTTGAATTCTTCATATTCTTGCTTTGAATTATTCAGCTCTGTCTGAATTTGCAGGAGTTGTGCTTTTAATTTCTCAGTGTTTGCGAATGAACATGGTTCTTTTGGAGCTTTGGGAGAAAAGCCTTGCTGACCTGATAATAAAGAAACAATCTTGGTCTTTGAAAGACAAACATAACAAAACACATTTGCTAAGTACTCAGCCACATACCAATTTTTTTTTTTTTTAAAGAGAGAGAGAGAGAGAGAGAAAAAAAATTTTTAATATTTATTTTTTAGTTTTTTCGGCGGGCATAACATCTTTGTTTGTATGTCATGCTGAGGATAGAACCCAGGCCACATGCATGCCAGGCCAGCGCGCTACCACTTGAGCCACATCCCCAGCCCCCACACATACCAATTTTGAGGCATAAAGAGGATAGATAAGAAATGGGTTGGGAGGTGGGCCCTCAAAGATGAGTCTACATCTCCGCAGGAAATATAGGATGCAACAGTGTCTAAAAAATTTAGGAGGAGAGGTCCACAGAGAGGAGAAGCAGCAGAGAGGTCCACAGGGTGGAGAAGCACAGCTAAGACAACACCTTTTCCATGAAGAAAAGGAGCTAATGATGACTGACATGCATCATGTTAACACTGGAAAGAGAATCACATGTTAAACTTGCAGGAATTAGTGCTAGCAGCTTGTCTGAACGGTCAATGTATTATTTAGAAAAGAAAATGAATAGCAAGAGCAGCAAGCTGAAAAAGAACTTGGTATCATCTACCAGGTAGAATATGTTAATTTTCAAAATTTGCTTAGAAAACCGATTAGAGAGTACACTGAGCTCCAGCACAGAAAAATATAAAAGTTGCTTGCAGGGGCTGGGGTTGTGGTAGAGCGGTAGAGCTCTCGCATAGCACATGGGAGACCCTGGGTTCAATCCTCAGCATCACATAAAAAATAAATAAAATAAAGGTATTGTGTCCAATTACAACTAAAAAATAAATATTTTTAAAAACAGTTGCTTGCAGAATGGTAGCTGCTTATAAGGTCCCAGAAATTACCATTAGTATCTATCAAATGTGTAAGTTAAGATTCCATTGAGGCCCAAATCGCCAACCAAATACCGAGCCTTGTAGGGAAAATTAGCTGAAACAAAACCAAAAACTTAACTTTACATCTAAGATTTTAAGTCTCTCTACAACTCAAATACTGTGAATCTTCTTCTGTTAAGTTATAATGGAATAGAAGGCAGCTTAGGAAAGGAAAATTTAGAAAACAAGGAGAAAGAGCTGGGGATGTAGCTCAGTGGCAGTGCACACTTATCATTCATGGGGTCCTGTGTTCAATCCCCAGCCCAAAAGAAAGATAAAAAGCAAGGAGATAAACTTCTCCATGAATGCAGAATGAAAGATTAGAATTTCCTCAACCTAAAAAAAAGGAAGGTGGAGGCTGAGTGTGATAAAAGACCATGAAAATACCAATTCTAAAGGGGCAAATAAACTTTATTATCAAATTCCAGGACATTAACACCAAGAGCTGCCAAACCTGTAAGTCAGATTTAGTACCAACTAAACCACTTTTCAGAGTACAAGTAAACTCCTGGGAATAATGTGTCACTCATAATATGTTCATTGTTACCACAATATCAGGACCAAACCACTGTTTGGTGGATCATGAGTGTGACACCCATCTACACTGTATAAACTTTAGCCAGACTGACAAACATTTCAACTATTTGAAATTGTAACTATACAATTTCAAATACTTTAAACTGGAAAATTCTATTGAATAAAAATTAAGTGATATCCAAATAGTTTTTACTTTTATCAGTAAAACAAGATAAATACAATGGGTGTTTCCTTGCTATGTCTATCAATCTATGTAAATTACTATGATCTTTGAGAAAAAAAGTTAGTAAATTTATTTTTATAACATTAAAGAATAAGTATGTGAATAAAAAAATTTGCAGGGGCTGCATTTTTGGCTCAGTGGTAGTGCACTCATCTGGCATGTGTGAGGCACTGGGTTCGATCCTCAGCACCACATAAAAATAAGTAAGTAAATAAATAAAGTTATAAAACAAATTGGCATATCAGGTCTGGAGGCTAAAAATGAAGATCCTAACTGCAAGGCACTACAAATGCTCTTTAAAACAACTTCTTGAACGAGGCAGAGTGGTACATGCCTGTAATACCAGGCTCGGAAGGTTGAGGCAGGAGGATCTCGAGTTCAAAGCCAGCCTCAGCAAAAGAGAGGCACTAAGCAACTCAGTGAGACCCTGTCTCTAAATAAAATATAGAATAGGGCTGGGGATGTGGCTCAGCGGTTGAGTGCCCCTGAGTTCAATTCCTGATACCCTCGCCCCCCCCCCAACCAAATGGTTAAATCAACACAGCCTCTTAAAGCTGGGAATGGTGGCACACACCTGTTATCTCAGCAACTCAAGAGGCTGAGGCAAGAGGACCCCAAGGTTGAGGACAGCTTCAGCAACTCAGAGAGGTCCTAAGCAACATAGTAACGCCCTGTCTCAAAATAAAAAATAGAAAAGGACTGGGGATGTTTCTCAGTGATAGGACAAACCAGGGTTCCATCTTCACTACCAAAACAAATAAAAACAGCCCCTTCTTACAACTATAATTTCTTACAGTTGTTGTTTTTCTCTATGCCAGATATTTCAGAGAAAGCTTTCTCTAGTTTTGCAATGGTCTGGGCATCCATTTCTTGGGCTCTTTTCACAGGCTCTAATAATCTCAGTCTTCTGTTCTCTTCCCTGAGGGAATGATTTTCCATAGCATATTTTGCAACTCCAGGGTGGTGCTCTATCTGTCACACAGAAGAATCACACATTAAATATTTAAACATTTCCTTACTAGTTTTTCTAAAAAGCCATTAGAAAACTAAGGAACACTGATGCAATATTGGTTGTACTCTAATGCAACCACTGTGGAAAGCAACACTGAGATATGCATCACCTACTCCTCTATTTGTGCCAAGTTTCTTAAAACTCTCACCTGTGCACCTAGGGAGATACAACTGGGAGTATACAATGTGGCAGACTCTTCCACAAAAGAAAATGGTTAAATTAACACACCAGAAAAAATAAAGAGACTTTCTGTTGACCAAGATACATTAACTGAAAGAGGCAAAGGGCAGAAACATATATGAAAGTAAAAATGCCCATGAGTTTAAACATGCATTGAAAACCCTGGAGAGTGGCCAGGTGCACGGACACACCCTGTAAATCCAGCAATCCAGAAGGCTAAGGCAGGGGGATCACAAGTTTGAGGCCAGCCTGGGCAATTTACTGAGACCCTGACTCAAAATAAAAAAATGAAAAGGGCTGGAGACACAGCTCAGTGGTAGGGTGCTCGCTTAAGGCCCTGGGTCCCAAACCCAATATCACACACACAAAAAAAACCCTCTGGAAATGGACACAGAGTTAATAACAGATTACTGTGGGGTTTTTTTTGTTGTTGTTTTTGTTTTCAAAACTAGATGTCTTTGTTACCTCCTGAGGGAAAGGGGAAAAAGAACTAAATATCAAAAGGCTCAACTCTAAAGAGACTACTGATTCAGATAATCACAACGACCCACAGGGTGAAAATCTACTTGGCCGGCTAGCATTGAGTGCTATATGGCAATATCACTAGGAAGCCTTCTTTCTCTTTGAGTGTAACTATTCTGGGAAAGGGAGGAAAATGAATTATGTAAATCACACAATCAGTTGAATTCATTTAAAACAATATCTACTGTTTTAAAGAGCAAGTATTTGGTGACAAACTTATATTTGCTTTGAACTTCCTTTATTCTTAAAGATACACACACACACACACACACACACACACACACACACACGCTATGGACTTACTTGTTCTCGGAGAGTCTGGATCTCATCCCTTAATTCTGAGAGTAAGCGACACTGTTCCTCAGGCAGAAAACTTCCCCGGGATTCCTTGTGGAGCTTCTCTAGCCGCATGATTTGATCCTCTCGGAATTTCACAATCATTTTATTCGATTGAATAAATTTTTCCTTTTTGAGGGTGAGATCTTCTAATTGGGTAATTCTTTCTACCAGAGACTTAAAGACATTCGTTGTTTGGTTAATTACAAAAAATAAGTCAGTCTTCCTAAATTTTCATAAACCCAGAAACAAATACTAAATTTAAATTTAATCCTAAAGGCAAAAGTAGATTTTCACAGCCTTCATTTACTTTCTTTATTAATCTGGTGCTATTCATTTTATTGCAATAAAAACCTTATTGTGAAAGCCTGAAATAACTTAAATCCTTTTATCCTAATTCAGTTTCCTACCTTCTTTTCCTGTTCAGATTTCTTAAAGAATACCATTGCCTCCTGGAAATACTTCATGTAATCAGTCTTTTCTTTATCTGTAATTGACAAAAGAAAAAAAAAAATTCTCAAAATTTTAAAACTAAAAGATGAATTTAACAGTCTTTGAATATTCTCAACTAATAGAATGATACTGTTGTCACTGGATCATGAATTTCAAATTAAACTACTCAATATATTAGCTGTTTTTTGAAGAAAAATGAGCTTTTCTTTATTTAGTCAAAATATATAGTGTATGATATATAGAAATAGAAATGGATCTAAAAAATTTGGGGGGAGTACCAGGGTGCAGTGTGCCTGCTAGGATTTAATTTTCCCTCGTTTATAGATTTCAAATGAATTCACTTTCTAGTAACTATACTTTGGAGAAAAGTGCCTCCTATCGTACTTAATAAACATGTAGATTATTATGTAGATCCTATGACAGAATACTGGAAGTGAACTAAATAAAATCAGTCTCTCCTTTTAGCAATTATTAAGGATGAATTATTCAAAATTATTTTAATTCCTTCTCCCTGCATCTCACAGAACTCAGTGTCTTTGGCTCCTGTGTCTGGTTACAGGGTACTATGCTCCTATGGAAGTGATATAAATAGAAAGGGCTAAATGAACAGAAGAGATAGTTGTGGGAACTTCTGGGAAGCCTATCTAGCAGCAGGGGCCTCTTGAACTAATGTTCACACTTGTCTTTCCCAGGATGGTCCTGCTGTGTTCATCCTACCTCTAGTCAGAAGGCTTTCTGGAAGTGTCTGCCCGGAAGAAAGCTGGGCCAGTTGTTCTTTGAGCCTCTTCACTTCAGCTTGGAGCTGGCTCACATTTCCTTGTGTGTCTTCATTTACCACTGCCTGTTCAAGAATTAAGAGATCACTCTTTTCAGTTGTACAGTCCAGAGTTTGCATTTTTTTTGGTATGGAGTGATAAACAGCCAACAAAACTGTGCTTCCATTTCATGAATGATCAGAAGGCCACCAGAATCAAAGTGTCCTAGAGTGGGAAGGAAACTTCCTTCTCTGTGCCTTTATACCTCGAGCTAGAGATGGACCAGCACCAGCCAGGCTCTCTTCTCCCTCACCACTCCCCTCCAGACTCCCACTTATGTATTGCTCTTTGACTAGCCCCGGGCTCTGTCTGGATCATCCTTCAGATCTGAGTGTTCCCTAATACTTCCTTCCCCCTGAGGAGGACAGACTTCACCCCCTTCCCCAGTGGAGAAAAGCAAACACCTCAATTGGTGCCATCCCCCACTCACCCCATCCCACCCCACCGTCCTAGCTCCCTATGAAGAAGAAACCCAGCCTGTGGGGCTGGGGTTGTGGCTCAGCAGTAGAGACTCGTCTTGTTGGTGCAAGACCCTAGGTTCTATCCTCAGTGCTACATACAAATAAATGAATAAAATAAAGGTATAAAAAAAGAAAACAAAAAGAAACCTAGCCTGTAAGTGCAATGATGACCCTCAGGGCTGGCCCAAGCTCCCTTGGCTTGGCAGAAGCAAGCCTCTCCAAGAGGAATCCCACCCTGTATTTTCTAACAGCCCTCCTGAAAGGAAGAGTTGGTTTTACAGTTCCATTTTGTGTTTTCAACACACTAAATGATATCTTTCTTTTCTACCTGTATGTGTATGTGTTACCAGGGATCGAACCCAGGGCCTCGTGCATGCTGAGGAAGCACCCTACAACTGTGCTAGATCCCCAGCCCAGTACCTTCGTTTTCTTAAAGAAATTCTTGTTTAAGACAAACACTAAGAAGTTAAAAATGGGGGCTGGGGTTGTGGCTCAGTGGTAAAGCACTTGCCTTGCATGTGTGAGGCACTGGGTTCAATCCTCAGTACCACATAAAAATAAATATAATAAAGGTATCATATCCATTTACAACCAAAAATAAAAATAAAAAGTTAAAAATGTTCACAAACAAATATACCACTGTGACATAGGATGATAATAATGAGGAAGGTGTTACATGTGTGGGGACAGGAAGTATATGGGATGTTTCTGTACTTTCTGTTCAATTTTGCTGTGGACCTAGAACTGCCACAAAAATAATTTTTGTTAATTAAAAAAGTATATATTTTTAGAAAAGGCTCACAAAAGCAACAGGGTGGTAAGTGCCAACAACTGAGTACCAACCAGGTCAAAGGACTCAGTTGTGAAATGCCCAATACCTCAGTGAGGAAAAACTCTCTGCCAGCCCCACAGTTCCCTCTGCTCTTGATGTAGGAAGAGCCCACTCACTCAGAAAGATTTAAATGGCTCATTCTTAATAAGTAGCAGATGCCCTAGCACTTTCCACTGGTAGGAAGGTCAGGGGACTTACCATTGATAGAGACTAGTATAGAGCTCCTAGTTTTGTTGTTTTATGTGTGTTAAGAAGCCATTTCCAGTTGTGCCTGACTCTATGGCCAGCCTCATTATGAGGTACTTTTGACATCATCATCACATCAGTGACACCATAATTTCAATTATCACTGCAGTTCTATTTTCTCCAGACTTCTAGAAGTCCCAAGAGACGAGGCCAGAAAGCTCTAATTGTTTTTCCTCTTCATATTGCTAATATTCATATTAATATGGAGTCATAATCCAAAGAAATATAACAAAGGACTATATCTGTACTCTTCTGATCTAGCTGGGAGAAGGAGAAACACAAACCACTTTAGACTAATCACAATCAGATAATCAGGGAATCTTCTTGGGGGTTTAGCATGAACAGTTTCACCCTTGAAGGAGAAATAAAATTAATCTACCAATTTAGAGCACAATTTCTAAAACCGAAGAGATCTTCAACTTCTCCAAAATAAGTGGGGGACTTCTTGGTCTTTAATGATCTGCAGAAGGCAAAGTGTTGTTTGTGGGCAAAATACAGTCCACTATCTTCTGCAGATGAAGTTATACTGGAGCTTGGCTGCTCCCATTTGCTAATACACTGTCTATGGCTGTTTTCTCACTACAAAGGCAGAGACAGGCAGAGATGAGTAGTTAGAACAGAGTTCATGTGGTCCAAAAGCATCAAACAGTGACTACCTGTTTTTTTAAGGAACATCATTTTTTTTAGTATATCCTTATTTTTATTTTATGTGGTGCTGAGGATCGATCCCAGTTCCTCATGCATGCCAGGCAAGCGCGCGCTACCACTTGAGCCACATCCCCAGCCCTACTTGACTCTTACAAGAAAAGATTTCTGACCCTACATGTAATAACAACATTAAAGAAGCTTCTTGTATATAAAATGAAATGCAGACTCCCTGGAAATAGAGACAACTTGAAAGACCAACTTTATCAATGTTACAAATTTCTTTCATAGCATACTTTCACCTTTGTACCCATCAGCTCTGCTATCATTGTTTAGGCAAATAAATTTAGTCTGTATCCCAATTACAAAGGAAAACTTTACATAAAGAAAAAACTAGCAAAACAATTAACAACCATAAGATCTACCCTAGGTCTTGAATGGCTACAGAAAATAAAATGGAAGGGCTGGGGGTATGTATAGCTAGCAGGTGTGAGACCCTGGGTTTAATCACCAGTAACACACACACACACACACACAAAACACAAAAAAAAAAAACAAAGAAAGAAAACAAGGAAATAGAAATCTTACATATAGTTAAGATAAACTTTCACAGAGAAATAGATAACAATTAACCATAATATTAGGGAAGGAGCTGGGGATATAGCTCAGTTGGTAGAGTGCTTGCCTCTGTATGCATAAGGCCCTGGATTCAATCCCCAGAACCCCCCCAAAAAAGAGTAATATTAGGGCAATCATAAACTGTATATTTTAAACTTAAGTCTTTTTCTAATTTACTAAATACATTGAAGTATCTTACCTTGTTTTTAATCAGCTTGGCTCTTTGAGCAAAATTAAGTGTTGACAGGGTTTCCCCAAAACACCTGGATCCGGGATGAACATTTACAATTATGGCTGTTTTGGCATTACCACCAAGAGAATCCTGTTCCATGACATAAATGGTATATGTTTTTATGTGAGAAATCACAAGATCTTTTCAAGCAAAATAAAGGAAGAAAAACAAAAAGGCACAATCTTTCGACCAAGACTGAGAGATGTCCCACTATCACCCTTGGTGAGCACAATCAAAAGAATGCAGGGACCCAATAATCTACTTTACCCGAAGCAAGAAGGTAAGTTTGGAGTCTCTGTAGCACACGTGTCTTTGTTTTCCATTACCCACATCAACAAGTGCGGTAATCACTTGGCCTAGGCAGCTCAATGATCGGTTTATATTACCTGCTTCCTAAGGTGTTGGGAAAAAATAACAAAAATTTAGACATAAGTGACTTTCTAAATTAAAATAGATCTAATAGAGTGACAATTTCAGATGGAAAGGCAAGTTGGAGACTATTAATTAATAATAATGGACTTTTCAGCTAAAAACCAGTATGCTCAATTATCCCGTAATAGTTTTCTATTTGATGCACACTGCAGCATTAGAATGGTATAAAAGCAATGCACATTCAGTAGAAGCTGCACTTCAACTTAAAAAATTTTTTTAAAGTATTTTTTGGTTGTAGATGGACCCAATACATTTATTTTATTTTTATGTGGTGCTGAGGATCCAACCCAGTGCCTCACATGAACCAGGCAAGCGTTCTACCACTGAGTTACAACCCTAGCCCTCAACTTCCGAATTTTCATCTTTCTGCAGGTCAGCCAACATTCTCAGGATAGTAGGAAGCAGTAGCAAGTCACAGCTCCCAGCTGACCTCAAGATCTTGAGGAGGAATGACCATGACACTATCAATTACTCTATTGCTGAAATATGATGTTCAGTAGAGTAGATATATTTGGTGCATTTTAAACTTCATGATACTTTCAACTTACAATGGATGTACTGGCATGTAACCCTACTCTAAGCAGCATCTGTATAAACATGTTATTTTATTATGCATCATGTATCAATAGAAACATGAGCCTTAGATTGCCAGAAACTGCATGAGAACTCAGGAGGCTCAAGCCTCACTTTTTTTGGTAAGATTTTTTAAAAAATATATTTTTAGTTCTGGTTGGACACAATACCTTGATTTTATTTATTTATTTTTATGTGGTGCTGAGGATCAAAGCCAGCGCCTCACACGTGCTAGACAAGCGCTCCATCCCTGAGCCACAACCCCAGCCCCCTCAAGCCTCACTTTTAATGCAAAAAGAAGATCTCTCCTCTGCCATTTCTGACACTTCTCCCCCAACTAATATATATCTTAAACTATAGAATCCACACATATTTTAATGATGATCACATTACAATTATTCTATCAATATACATTACACAGAACCTCTGGTACCATTGCTAGTACCTTAGCCTAGGCCTAGGTCCTCAACTCTGTACACTTGAAATATTAAACAATATAACCAGTCTCCTGTCTCTTTAGGCTCTCCCCTCTTCATCCTGGCAGTGGTAGGTCAGAGGGTCCAAGTTTTTCATAAAATAGGCTTTCTTCATGAAATCACTCATTTCTTCAAAACTTTTATTTCCCAGTATTTGGAAAGTTGAGTACAAACTTGGTCTGGCACTCCTGTCCTCAGTGATCTGGCCTACTTGCCTCTCTAACCCACCCCCCTTAAAAGTAAAAGAAATTGAAGTTAAAGTGTAAAAGACCGGGAATTGTAAAGTTTCTAAGCTACAAGGCCTGAGTTAAAAAGTGAAGGACCAGGTATTGTTAAGTTCCTCTGCTACACCCAAAACCTGAAATTCCTGTAGCTGTTAGGACAATACCCGGAACTGCCCAGTAAATATTCCCCCTGACCCTCTGGTTGTTTAATAACCTAGGACCCTGTGTAGCCTGGCACGTAGGCATTCAGGGCCCAAACCAATCAGTTTGAATGTGTACCCCGCTTAGGAGTGACCAATCACCCCCACCCAACCTGTTCCCGCCAATGAATGTACTAATCATGTCTAAGAGTTGTTGTTCAGTTTTCCCGCGCTCATGATGATTTGTTCTGATGTATGCAAAGTCCCCGCCCTCCCCCAAAAGTGTACTTAAGCATTGTTCAATCCCTGCCCGGGGCTCTGGGATGCTCTCCCTTCTTGAGTGAGCACGGAGTCCCAGCGTGCTGGAATGGATCCTCAATAAATCCCCTTCTGCAATTGCATGAGTCAGTCTCTTGGTGGTCTCTTCCTCCAATGTTTCGCCGGACCCTTACATTTGGTGCGTTGGCCGGGAACCACGCATCGCCGGACAAGGAGACCCCCAACGGACTCCTTTAGGGGGTAAGTAAGGCGCCTCTTCCTTTCTTTTTTTTTCTTTGCGATCGCTCAGAGCTTTTTGTTCAGGTTCGGTTTTTCGGTTTGGGTTGGCAGAGTGGTTGCCAGCGGAAAGCGTGAGTTCTCCCTGGCAGTGGTGGACAGACATGTCCTGAAGCCACAGCCCACGTTCTCCAAGGGATGCCTTGGAGGGCTTGGGGAGGGACGGAAGTGCCCTGGAAATGCCCTCGTCAGGTACTCTGCTGCCAACCCGTCTGGTCTTGCCGGCAATTCTTTTTCTCAGGTTGAGTTTACTGTCTGTCTTTAATCTTTGCTTCTGAACTTGTGTTAAAACGTTTACTGTGTGTCCTTTTGTCTGTGTCTGTGTTAAGTGTGATGCCATTGTTTTACTCTGGACGCAGAGTCCCAAATTCCAATCTGCCTTAGACATGTGGAGATATCTTTAGCTAAATTTTAGCCTAGATTGTACCTAGTATGCTTCTCCCGTAAGGGACCAAAAGTCAATAGAACCGCCAGCTTTTCTGTTCTCACTTTTTACACCCCTTTAGCTATGTTTTAAAGAACTTTGATAAACTTTACTGCCCTTTGTTAAGCGAGATTAGGGAAGCAGTGTTTTCTTTTCTTCCCATAGTTGGCTTGAGTATACCCACTGCAGTTAAGAAATGCCTGCTGTGGATCTAAGAACTTTTATATCTCGCTTTAACTTTTCTCAAAATCCTGTCCTCATTATTAAATTGGCATTAATTGGCTTTTGGGATGGGAACTGAATTTTCAGTCACAAATTTTGGCACCCCAGAGGGGAACTCTTTAGAGTCCCCACTCTGCCTTCTTGGGGAAGCCTAGCACTCGAAACAACTGCGAGCAGAGGATGAACTTTTTGGGAGCTGACTACTAAAAAGTTAGGAGATGTGGGAAATGCCTGGTGCCTGGGGTCAGACCAAACCAGAGGGACTAATCCTGTAAGTTAAAGGTGGGACTGAGAAATTCCCAGCAGCTGCCAAAGCCATTTTCGCTTTGGGGAATTTCCTCATTCTTTCCCTGCACTTTAAGGATTACTCCAACTCTGTCTACTTAAAAGAAAAAAAAAAAAAAGAAGGGACAATGAATGCAGTAATGTGTTGAGATTATAGATTGTTTCTTGGGGATGATCTCGGCTAAATGTGTATCTAAAAAAATGATTTTTTTATTTTAACAATCTGGTATCTGAATGGGCTTCTAAAGCATTACACTATCTTGCAGTTAAAAAGTTAAGTTTAAGTAATTGTTTAATTTGATTTTAGATACTTCATGCTAGAAAACTTAAATACTTAGGATAGAAAATTTAAAAAACTCTACTTCCAAGTTGGCAAGTAACTCCCAATCATTTAGTTTTATTTTTTCATCAATTTCTGAACTGGGTAGCCTGAAAAGACTTCACTAGGTATACCAGTACATTAACTTGGACAAGGATAATAAATTATGATATGGTATCTGTTCCCCTCAGTGTGTAAGATTCAGGAAAAGAAAGTGTTAAATTAGAACGTTGGCCTGGTTTATTAAAATGACCTTAATTAGCAACAGCCTTGAAAATTTTTAAAGCTTAATTTTAGATATACATGGTAGTGTGTGGTTCTCTTTCAGGCGATTTAATGTAACTTAATACTACTTTAGGAAATTCAGAACAAAGGAAGTAGCTTAATGATCCTAAAGAAATTTCTTCTGATGGTAGAGATCCTATTTCCAGTTTTATGTGAGCAAGTTTTTCTAGTGTAGAAAGATATAAAATTTTGGGAATTGCATCTTAAACTTATATCATAATTTTCAACATCCAAACCTGGAAATTATGACTTATGGTTAAAATGCCTCAGGCATGAGGTTTCTGCTCAGAATTCCGGTTTTCCCAGTTTCTTCCAGACCTCAGCCAGGGCTTAAGTTGATATGCAAACAGAAGAAGCTTGGAGCTCAGGCCCAAGGAAAAAAAAAGAGTAAAAGTGTCTTTTTACCTGAACTCAAAATAGACCAAACCAAAAAGTAAATTGTATGGTATTTACTAACTACTGGCCAGTCATCTTTTTTAGGACTCTTGCTTTTTTTTAGATTCTGTATTTTTTTGAGCTCATGATTTTGATCCTACAGACAAGTTAATGTTTTCTGATCAGTTCTATTTTTGATCAACTGTGGAGTTTTTAAATGTTGCAATGAGATTTCACCTGAGAAAGTTACAAGACCTTTACTATTGTGTTGTGTTACACTTGTGTTACATGTTGTATGTCGGTATGTCTGTATGTGTGTATGACCATATATCATGCAGTGATATGACAATTGACAGATGAGGAGCGCTCATGAAAAATTAAAAAATGGATCTAAATATCTTTGATTCACGTGATTCAAATGGCTCAATTTAAATTTAGTAAATAGATAAGAAAAGAGATGTCTTAAAAATTAAACTTATAAGTTTTTCTAGGTGTTCAAAAAGGGCCTAATAAAATGTTAAATCTGCTTAAATTCAAAAATTTACAAGTATTGTTTCAAAATGTAAACAAAAGGAGGTTAACAGATGAAAAAGAAAAACTAAAAGGTTCTAGGTATGGATCTAATAGAGAAAAAATGTGTTTCTGGATAAGAGAGTCTATGTGACTAAGTAATCAAGAGGGTTTAAGTAAGGGATGAAGGAGGTTTGTGTAAGTTAGTTGTGTGTGTAAGTTTTTGAGCAAGTAATCTTAAAAAAATATATACAACTATGGTTAAACAACAACTGTTATTTTTCAATACTTTTCTTGTGCTCTCGTGCTCTGCATAATGAGGTTCCTTCAAACCCAGTTGCAGAAAGTTTCTAATCAAACTTTCAACCAGCTTCTGCTTAGGCACTACCAGCCTCTGATGACTGATGAACCCCCAACATCTTCAAGAGAACAGTTCACTCAGTGCTGAAGCTCACTATCAGGCACGATGGAATGCATCGGACATCAGACAGTAGGAGACAACAAGTTCGGAGAACCTCTTAATCTACCATCCTGGATTCATTAGTCTTTATGTCCTTTTAAGCTTCCTCATGGCCCTTGGCCTCTTCTCTGTCAGTCCCTCAACACGGAACTTCTGCCAAAAATTGACCTTTGCCTTAATTTTTATCTTCATTCTATTTTTATTCGCTCTGATCTTCTTCAGATGCTGGTGACGATATCTGGAAGAACTTGCCAATAGACGGGTTGCCTGCCATTTATCTAGACCCTACCATCTCCCCCTTAGTCCTGTATAAGCACACAGCTTTTTGCAAGGTTATGGTGATTTTAATGTGTTCATATCTTCCAGGTATACAAGTCTGTAAGGTAGAAGCTTCAAAAGAACATTGTATCAAGCTGGTGTTCTAAAGTTGTATGGTGATTTTAGGCTTAAAAGAAAAACATGTTGGAGATTTATTTATATCATTTGTGTTCTATAATTGGACTTGTTATCAATAAGATATATAAAGTTCTATGTTACTTTCTACACTGAGATACAATTTAAATGTATTTTTAAGTTAATGAGAGCCTAATCTGTGTGAAGGTTTTATTGCAAAACATAAAAATACTTTGCTACTTTTCTACAAGAGGTTAAAAGCTTCCAGCCTTTCTTTAATTCATGTTTTAGATATGATATTATGTTGTGTTAGCTAATGTTCATGTGAACGTGAGCAACAATCTATGTAGACTTTGTAAAATGATGTCTAAAAAAAAACAAAGATCAGCTTCAGAACTGTAGTACTTAAGATTTATGAAAAACCCCGCCTTACTTGAGATAAGGCTCTATGTCCCTTCTCACTACATGTGAGAGCGACTATGAAAGAAGCAGACCAGATTTCAGTACATTTAAAGTTGTGTCCAAAAGTTGGTTTTTGTCACGACTGCCAGGATCTCAAACAGGGGATTATAATGTATAACTCTGCCAAAATTCAAGGTAGCTATTACATAAACTAAATATGTTTTTATCTTAGTTAGTTTTGTTTTGTAGTTTGCTTATAGATGGTCTAAGGATTGCCTGTTAATGTTTTGCAGAGATACTACTTTAAGAACTCACAACCTGGGTTAATTTAAGATAATAATTTACAAGGAGTTACCACCTACAGGATAGAGAGATAGACATTAAAGCCCAGTACTCTTAATATAAGGCTGTTAACTTATTTGCTGGATGTTTAAGATTAAGTTTTAAAATTAAAAATTTGGCTCCTGCCCTCTGAGTCAGTCTGAAGCAGGGAATAGGGGACTTCTCCAAAGGGCTCTGCAACTCTAGGCCACATAACCTCCTGAGCAGGGAGATTAATGAAACCAGTGGAGGACAGAAAGCCAATCAGTGTATTTCCTGTGAAGAGGAGGGTCATCAGAAAAGGGAGACATCCCTGATGCTTCCGAGGGAAGCCATATGGTCAAGCAAGGCCTGGACCCATCCTAGTGCAAATGGCACTGGCAGAACTGAGAAGCTACTGTAAGTTCCCCAAGGACTCCCAGGGAAACTCAGCTGACTGTTAACAATAGATAAAAACAAAAGTCAGTTTGACTTGCTTCATCTTAAACACTTAGCAAAGACAGTCAAAGCCAAAACACAGCTGTTCCTGGGCATTTTAAATGATAATAATAGTTAAATGTAACCTCTAAAAATAAGTAAACTGGAGGCTGCAAAAGAGATTCTTAGGTAGGAATGCCTGATAACTATCAAAAGGAACTGCCAGAGTAGTTTTAGCTTAAGGCCTTTATTTCTAACCAATGCAGGTAGGCTTAATGTTTGCTAGTATGGTTATCCAGCCCTAAGTAACAGAATTAAAGATTTCTCTATTAGACACAGAGGTCATACTAGTAAAAGGATTTTGCAAGATCAGATGACATTAAATTATTAAACTGTATCTTAAGGAAAAGGACATCTGTAACCCTAAAAGTTAAATGTTGTGTTTACATCCCTGACATTTCTGGCAATGTGACAAATATCCTTAAAGATTTACATGCTCAGATAGAAGCCATGTCCTCAGCAACTTTGTCGTGGAAACAATATCTTAGCTCCTGGTTCTTGGTACTTCCTGGTAGAAAACATTGTTAATCTCTGTCCTTGCCATCATACTCATTGGCATATTTCTGTGCTATGGGATTTATTGCTGCATCAATCTGGTTCCATAAGTAATAAATTCTTGTTTCTCTTATAGACCGCCCATCACTCAAATGGCCTTCCAGTCTATTACTTCTCAATTGGACTTTTATCATGGACCACTCGATAGACCCAATTTTTAAAGGGGGACTCCAAACTGCTTGCCCCACGCCGTCCCTCTTCAGCCTGAAGAGGCCAGAAAGATCCTCTTCGCTCCCCTTCCTTATAGCAGTAAGGAGTTCCCAAATTAGAGGGGGGAATGAAGCCAGATTTAAAGTTAGGTAGTCAGTGTAGTTAGATAAATCGGGGTCTAATACCGAGTGAAATCTAAAATGGAGGCCATGCTGAAAATGATTCCAGGGAACGCAAAACAGCTCATGAAATGTGAAACCCTTCAATAATTATGATCTATCACTTTTAAGATTAAAAGTAGTCAGAAAAAGGAGTGGGGAATGTAAGAGTAAAAGAAATTGAAGTTAAAGTGTAAAAGACCGGGAATTGTAAAGTTTCTAAGCTACAAGGCCTGAGTTAAAAAGTGAAGGACCAGGTATTGTTAAGTTCCTCTGCTACACCCAAAACCTGAAATTCCTGTAGCTGTTAGGACAATACCCGGAACTGCCCAGTAAATATTCCCCCTGACCCTCTGGTTGTTTAATAACCTAGGACCCTGTGTAGCCTGGCACGTAGGCATTTAGGGCCCAAACCAATCAGTTTGAATGTGTACCCCGCTTAGGAGTGACCAATCACCCCTGCCCAACCTATTCCCGCCAATGAATGTACTAATCATGTCTAAGAGTTGTTGTTCAATTTTCCCGCGCCTCATGATGATTTGTTCTGATGTATGCAAAGTCCTCGCCCTCCCCAAAAAGTGTACTTAAGCACTGCTCAACCCCTGCCCGGGGCTCTGGGCTACTCTCCCTTTTTGAGTGAGCACGGAGCCCCAGCGCACTGGAATGGATCCTCAATAAATCCCCTTTTGCAATTGTATGAGTCAGTCTCTTGGTGGTCTCTTCCTCCGATGTTTCGCCGGACCCTTACACTCCCATGCCAAAATGCCAAATGCCATACTCATTCTGCACATATACAATAAGCTTTGATTTGTCACCCAACTGGGCATGTATTCCCTGTTCCTCCCTCCCTACCCAAACCCTGTCCCTGTTTGAGATGACAACTTAAGAACTATTTCTTTTTCACATTTCCCCAAGGAATCCATTTCACATCCTTCTTTTTCTGTCCCCTGTTGATATACACTTCAACTTTAGAATAGTAGCAAAGCAATGCCTCCTTTATTTTTCCTTCTCTCTCTCCAGATATTTTTTCCATAATTTTTATTGGTACATTAGAGTTGTACATAATGGTGGAATTTGTTGTTATGTATTTGTATATGCACACAATACCTCTAGTACCATTATCCCCTCTAGCAAAAATTAAAACATTCTTGCCACTTGCCCTATCCCATTCACTTTCCCTACCTAATAAAAATCTGCTCCTTTTAGATAGGAGTAATTTTTTTATTTCTTTGCAGCCCTCACAATACCTGGTGTGTACTGACTTCTGGTAAGAATTCACATATAGGTTGAAGACCATAATCTCATTCTTACCTTCAACCTCATCCCTTCTGCATGGGTATCTTTTTGCCTTTCAGATCCTGCTAAATCCACCAGGTTGAGTAGGGAGGTTCGTATATTCACAGTCTCATTGCTTTTTTCCATTGACTCTATTGTGATTGTAAAGACTGCATGAGACCTAGAGGATTCTCTATTCATTGATGTTGATGCCACACGTCTGTTCCTCCATCCTCCAGACAACACCTAGGTAAGAGGAAAATGTATTACAAAAAGCCACAGCAGGCACACTTAAGACAAACTTAAAATACGTACTTGAGAACCACTGATTTAACAAGAAAAATACTAATTTACAGTTATTTACTTTCACAACATTTACACAAAATATATTCTCCCTCTAGAGCAGAGGTGGGGAACACCTATTATGGTCTTTCCATTATCTAGCTTTGTAAGAGAAATCATATTTTCACAAATTTCAAGTGATACATGTTAGTCACCAAAATCAATAAAAAATCTGTAAAGTATGATAAGAAATATTACTGGCCCACCAAAGAACATACAAGTTATTTTTTTTTCCTCTCTCCATGTTACAAAAAAAAAAAAAAAACAAACAGGAAGTCAAAAGGCATAGTTCTAGAAGGGTTTTGCCATACTCTATCTGTATTATCTTAATATAAATCACAAAATCTCTCTGAACCCTTTTCTTTACAATAAGAATGTTGAACCAAAGGGGAAAAAAAAAATTCTGAATTACCTTGAAACTCAGAGAGTTGTCCAGTCTTTTGTTTTGTTTTCTTTCTTTCTCCTCCATTCCCTTGGCCTGTAAAGTACCTATTTTCCCTTTCTATTCCCTTTCTATTCCCTGTGGCAAGCAGGAATACACGAAGGTTCACACTGCAGGCTTTAGAGTCTGCATGATGAGTTCAACCCTGGCTCTACTGTAGTGTGTGATCTGGAATCAGTTGAACCTTTTCAAGGCTCAGCCTTTATATTTTTAAAACAAGAACATGAGTGCCTACCCTTCAGGGCAGAAAATCTCAGTTCAACATGCATATAATCACCTATGGAAAGGGAAATTAGAGGTTGATCTCAATTTTTCAAATTGATGAAAAAAAAATACTAAAAAAAGTTTAAAAATTGAATCTAGTCCTTTATCATGTTAACACTTGAAAGGAAAAAGAAAGCACATGATCATGGCAGTAGCAGAAAAAAATCATCTGAAAGAATTTAACATACATTTCTGATTTTGTAAGATAGTTAGCAAGGTAGCTAATTAAGTAAAAAGCATTCTATAAAAAACTGCACTTCTATTTACATAAAACAAATATGTAATTTTAAAAAGAGATTATAAGAGCATCAAAAATTGTAAGGCATACTGTAATAAAGTTAATGAAAACTACATGACTTTTATGGTGAAAATTACTAAAATTAATATTACAAAACATTAAATCTAAATAAATGAAGAAATAAATGTTGATGTATGGACTGAATATTGTATAGGTATCAATTACTCCAAGCTGGTCTACAACTGCAATGTAATCCAATCAAATCCTAACATGATTTTTTGCGTATGTATCTATATACATACTGAGCCACATGTAAAACCTACCTCTTACTGGGGGAATCTCAGTTTAAAAAGTTTGAGTCAAGAGACTTTTTGAAGGTAGAAAAACAAACTAGTAATATTATATAGCAGTGAAAATAGATGCAATGCAACATAGATGCATTTCATAAACCATGTTGAGTTAAAAATTCATAGGAGGTTGAACATAAACAATTTTTTAAAACCCAAAAGGAAACAAAAGCAACATATTAATATATATATATATATATATATATATATATATATATATATATTTTTTGTAGTTTAAAAGCAGAAGCAAATGATAATCACATTCAACAATATTTGGGGGAGTAGTCAGGGGATAGGGAGGAATACACCAACCAAAAGGATAATATTGGTGGTATATGAGTATTAAATTGTCTTGAATGTTCATTTTAAAATTAAACTTAGTAACTACATGCATGTTGCAATATTTTATATACATTAAATATTACAGTATAAAAATTACTTAACGTCTGTAAAATATGAGAAGATTTTTATAAATTTCCATCGCTGGTTTGCCCTGAACCGAAGTTGGCTTTTGACGCTCAACTTGCAAGCAAAAATAGAAAGTAAGAAGTGAAGAGCTAGCTGCTTCACAGCCAGCATTCCCACAAGCTCCTTAAACTAGCAGCTCCCAGGCAGACTAACTTAAGAAACAGGGACACTAATGAATTGTCTGTCACCTTCAGGGTGTTTTTAAAGAGTACTTGATTAGAATAAATGTATCAAAATAATGCTAAATCAAGTGGCTCAGAGTTCTTTTTCACTAAATCCTGCCCTATTCTTTTTTCTTTTCATGAGCATTTTGCATCATGCCTCCATGAAATATTTTTAGCACTTCATTCTACTTTTTTGAGATCGGGGTGCTTTCACAGCCTGTTTATTGCCTAAGCATCAAGTAAATACTCATGGAAGGGTACCTGATAGGCTTCAGCAGCAGAAGTGACCACCTGCTCTACTGCACCAACAACAAACACTCCCTTCTTGATGTGTTCCCGTAAGTGCAGTCCAGCTGAGGCAGAGTCCAGCAGGTCATAGATCTGCTCATTGTAGATCTCAATAAAGGAACACTTACACAGGAAACTTTTTCCAGCACCAGCCTATAAAAGAAGCCTCAGTTAGAGCTATTATTGTCATGTGTTCTTCCAGCTTTCACCAGCATTAATTTTGTAGTTGTTTGACAAGTTGTAAATTTCCTACACTATTAACCTTTAATAAAGATACTGAAAAGTCATTGGAAAAAATCTAGATAACTAGTTTCAATACATCATAACATTTTAAAGCAGTATCAAAGTGTGATCCCAGGACCCTGGAGGTTTCCAGAGGCGTCTCAGAGCCAGCTTAGGGAGTAGGTCAATTGGGCGATTTCATCTTAGTCTGTTTTTTATTTTGGACTTTCTCATAAAGTTTTATTTGAAACAAGCATTATGTTCTTTAAAAGACTGAAAACAATTCATTTTAAAAGACTTTAGAATTTTTAACCACAGAAATGCATGTTGCTAAACTCAATTATTTTATTGGCATGTAATTTATGTGTCTAATTTAAATGTTATGGATCCTTTCTTTTCTTTTTCTCCTGTTTTTGGTGGTACTGTGAATTGAACTCAGGAGTTCACATCTCCTGCCCGTTTAAGATTTTTTTTTTTCTTTTTAAATTTTGAGACAGGGTCTTGCTAAGTTGCTGAGGCTGGCCTCACACTTGTGATCCTCCTGCCTTAGCTTCCAGAGTCACTGGAAGTATGCACCACTGTGCCAAGCTTGGGGATAGTTTCCGAAAAGCAGTAAGTGATAAACTGATATCAAATCACTTTCCTTGGTATACAGTAATGGAACATATAATACTAAGGGTTCTTAAGACTGAAATTTGCCAAGCCAAAGAGGAAGCACAATCATAATAATGGCCCAACCTTGGAGCCAGCAAGAGAGGGAAGACCTTGTCTCCACATGATACGAGGCGTATCACACACAGAGCAAGGAGATGGTGGTGAAGTGGAAACGGTGCTGCAAAGGAGGCAATGATGGACCCAATCACTAGTGATTTCAGGAGGATCTAGGGATACCAGAAAGCCCAGGTACAGGTAGATGACTGGGCTTAGCATATTCATGAATCTGTTTTCCTCAGTCAGGATATATATACATACATATATATATATATATATATATATACACACACACACACACACACACACACACACACACACACACATATACATATACTTTCTCTCTTTTACAAACTAAAAACTCAATTAAATTGAAAACAAAACCCCCAGAATCACTGATTTTATCTTAGGAATTGAAAGCTTTTTCAATACCGTACTTGCTGGCACACACTGTAGAAGAAAGTACCATCCACACTCCTCTATGTATCCTGAGCTAATTATTAGCAGCTAACTACTCAAAACTAGACATTTCGTTGAACCATTTTATTTATTTATTTTTAATATTTATTTCTTAGTTTTTTGGTGGACACAACATCTTTGTTTGTACGTGGTGCTGAGGATCGAACCCGGGCCGCAGGCATGCCAGGCGAGCGCGCTACCACTTGAGCCACATCACCAGCCCCCCATTTTATTTTTATAGTAAGTTTTACCTTCTCTTTTTCACGATCAATTAAGTAAAATAAATATTCAAAACTTCGTGGAATTACTCCTCTCAGGTTGTGAGAAAAATTATCAGATTCAGATGGTCCTAAAAAAAGTAAAACAAACAAAAGGCCTGAATTTCATTCTATTTTTTAAAATATATTTTTTAATATCTTTATTTTATTTATTTTTATGTGGTGCTGAGTATTGAACCCAGGGCCTTGCACGTGCTAGGCGAGCGCTCTACCACTGAGCCACAATCCTAGCCCTGAATTTCATTCTATTACAAGAGTCCTTCAAGATAGGAACACTGAAAGGCAATTTACATAAAAATAAGATGATACAGTGTACAATCAATTTCCTACTTCTGCTCTGACCATTACATTTAAGCCTGTGAAAGACAGGATGCTAGAACCTGTCAATCAGTAGAACTGAAGGCCCAAAGCAGTCACCATCTGATTTTTTTGTTGTCGTTTCCTAAACAAACACAAAAATCCATCTAGGTATTAAGCTTGGAATTGTTCCAACTGCCATGTGCCAGAATCAGAAATTCCAACTAAATTTTACACAACCACAAGAATGGGAAGTTATACTCCATGTATGTATAATATGTCAAAATACATTCTGTCATGAAAGAATTAAAAGATATGAAAAAATATCAACTAATTCTAACTTATTTATTGCATGTGACATTTGGTTTCATGGATTGACCTATATTCTACAGCATAGCCCCACATTGTGAGCATAGGCTATTTAGTCTCTCCTAAACTTGAGTTTTCAACTATAAAATGGAGATAATAATGGAATATCTAACACATGGAACTGTTAGAATTAACTTAGTATAAAAGTAAAACACTTGGAGCAATGCTTTAAACACACTAAGTACTAAAAACTAGGAGTAGCAGGTATTGTTTAAATTGGGCAGTAAAAGCCAAGCTGGTAAGAAAGATAAAATAACAATATCTTACAAGATTTCTATCAGAAAGATAAACAGTCTTATCTCTACTTCCTTACACAAGAGGAAGGAGGAGAAACGAGTGGATGCCTAAGCAGAGATTTAGGAATCCTACCCCAGCTTATGATGTGATACATATTTCTTGGTTTTGTTTGACAGTCCTGGTTCAAAGGTCTCTATAGTCCTTGTTATTTTCTAAGTGATTCGAGAAATAAGAATATCTTTTGTTAAAACATTGGTCCTTTGTCTTTGGTCCCTGAAGCAGCTCTAGAGCAGCTTCAGAACAATAAAGGTAAAAGAGAATTTACTTACAAGTCCTTTCAAAAATACATGAGTGCTAGGGTTATGGCTCAATGGTAGAGTGCTTGCCTAACATACATGAGGCACTTGGTTCAATCCTCAGCACCACATAAGAATAAATAAATAAACGAAGGTATTGTGTTCATCTACAACTTTAAAAAATTACATATTTTAAAAATTAAAAAAAAAAAAAAAAACAATGAGGTGATTTGTGGAAACTACAGGATGAGGGGTTGGTTGCAAGGCAACTAGCTATGTGCTCAGAGAGCTGGGACTTTCAGCTCTACCTCCCAGGCTCAGGGGAGGGGAGAGGGACTGAAGGTTAAGTTTTTCACCAATGGCCAATGCTTTAATCAATCGTGTATGTAATGAGGACTGGCTTCAAAGGAGCTTCAAGATAGCTGAATACAACACATTTTCTTGAAAGGTGAAAGAATATATTCAAGCGCAGGGAGGGTGGTGCACCCCAACTCCACAGGGACAGAAGCTCCTGTTCTGGGGACCCTACTGGGCATTCCCTTATGTATTTCTTCATGAATTCTTCTAATTATATATCAGATCATTTGTATCCTTTAAACTATTCTCTACAGTAAGTTAATTAAAGGTGTTTCCCTGAGTTCTGTGAGTTATTCTAGAAAATTAATCAAACCAGAGGAGGGGGTTGTGGGAACTCCAGTTTATAGTTTGTTTGTCAGAAATATAAGCCACAAACTGGGGCAGGCAGGCAGTCTTGGGAACTGAGCCCTAAACCTATGAGATCTGACTTTATCTTCAAGTAGATAGTGTCAGAAATGAATTGGATTAGAGGACACTCAGCTGGTATCTGCTGCAGACCTGCTTGCTCACTTGCTGGTAGGGAGAAATTCTTAACCTTTTAAAGTCACAGAAGTCTTCTGTGTTGATTTTTTTTTTCTTTTCTTTAGTGGTGCTGGGGATTGAACCCAGGGCCTATGCATGCAAGGCAAGCACTCTACCAACTGAGCTATATCCCTAGCCCATGTTGATTGTTGTGGTGTGAAAGCAGAGGAAAAACAGCTTGGTTTTCCTGCAGAGAACTATAGCAATATTTACCAGAAAAATATATAGCAAGAAAAGACCTAGAAGTTACTATGAATTTTAGTTAAGTATACCTTAGAGACCAAAGGAACCAACAGAATCCAGGTATGCATAGGAATGGTACAGAGAACAATTTAAAAATCTTGTCCTGTGCAAGGCCTTATTGATTACACCTGGAATATTTACATGGACCTTATAAACTGTACTTTTAAGAGATGGATAACATTCCATCATTATGTACAACTATAATGCACCAATAAAAAATGTGGAAGAAAAAAAGCATAAAAGGGTAGAAAATGCAATTAAATGAGCAAAGAGAATAATATTAGAGCAGAAATCTTACACCATATTCTTGAACAGTATTTAAAGACCATCAACATATCCTTGGGCACCTCTATCATCACTTGCCTAGAAGGAAATAGTTACTAATCCTGCTCCATCTTGAACCCTTCCTCTTTATTCCATTGATGCCTGAGTAATTTTTCTAATTATATATCAGATCATGTAATTCCTGTTTTAAAAAAAACCCTTCCAATAACTTCTCATCATACAACAAAATCTGAATTCCTCTCTAAGGCCCATGTGAATTGGCTGCAGGCTACTGCTCCAACTTCCCCTGCTACAAGCCCCTTGTTCTGGAAAACTCCACTCTGGCTGTAGGTGTCTGCTGCTCCTCACAATGTTGCCTATGTGCCCAACTCAGGGCCTGTGCAGTTGCTGTGCCTCTGCCTAGAAGTTTCTTCTCTGGATAGTCTCAGTACCCACTCTCATTTCAATTGTGACCTGAGAAGTTGTTCCTAACCATCCACCTAAAACAGCACCCCGTGCTCTTCTCTATCCCCCACATTGCTTTATTTCTCTTTATGGCACTTATAACCTCTGGAATAATTACTATACATTTATTTGTTTTTAATTGTACATATGTCCCACCACCACTCTGGAATATAAGCTCCACAAGAACCTGGACATGGCCTTGTATTCACAGAACAACAGTGCCTTGAAAAGTACCCGGCACATTGTAAGCACTCTAGTATTTGTTGTTCTTGTAACCTCAGAGAGAGGAAGAGCTTCCTTACAACAACTCACAATTCAGAAGCCACTAAAATTAAAAAAAAAAAAAAAAAAAAACATGGTAAAGGGGCTGGGGGGTTGTGGCTCAGTGGTTCAGCACGTGCCTAGCATGTGTGAGGCACTGAGTTCGATCCCCAGCACCATAATAAAAAAATAATACACTGGCACCAAAACAGGCTGGTAGACCAATAGTACAGAATAGAGGACACGGAGACCAACCCACAAAATTACAACTACCTTATATTAGACAAAGGTGCTAAAAGCATGCAATGGAGAAAGATAGCATCTTCAACAAATGGTGCTGGGAAAACTGGAAATCCATATGCAATAAAATGAAATTGAATCCCTATCTCTCACCATGTACAAAAGTTAACTCAAAATGGATTAAGGATCTAGGAATCAAACCAGAGACTCTGCGTCTAACAGAAGAAAAAGCAGGCCATAATCTCCATCACGTGGATGTTAGGCCCCAAATTCCTTAATAAGACACCTGTAGCACAAGAATTAAAACCAAGAATCAAACAATGGGACGAATTCAAACTAAAAAGTTTTTTCTCAGCAAGAGAAATAATATGTGAAGTGAATAGGGAGCCTACATCCTGGGAACAAATTTTTACCCCTCACACATCAGATAGAGAGCTGTAATCTCTAGGATATAAAAAGAACTCAAAAGTTAGACAACAAAAAAACAAATAACCCAATCAACAAATGGGCCAAGGACCTGAACAGACACTTCTCAGAAGAGGATATACAATCAATCAACAAATACACAGAAAAAATGTTCAACATCGCTAGCAGTCAGAGAAATGCAAATTAAAACTACACTAAGATACCATCTCACTCCAGTAAGAATGGCAGCCATTATGAAGTCAAACACCAATAAGTGCAGGCAAGGATGGGTGGGGGAGGTACACTCATACATTGCTGGTGGGACTGCAAATTGGTGCAGCCAATTTGGAAAACAGTATGGAGATTCCTTGGAAAACTGGGAATGGAACCACCATTTGACCCAGCTATTCCTCTTTTTGGATTATACTCAAAAGACCTAAAAACGGCATACTACAGGGACACAGCCACATTAATGTTTACAGCAGCACAATTCACAATAACTAGACTGTGGAGCCAACCTAGATGCCCTTCAATGGATGAATGGATTAAAAATGTGGCATTTATACACAATGAAATATTAAAGAGCACTAAAAAATAACAAGATCATGACATTTGCAGGGAATAGATGGCATTAGAGCAGATTATGCTAAGTGAAGTTAGCCAATCCCAAAAAAACAAATGCCAAATGTCTTCTCTTATATAAGGGGGGTGACTCAAAATGGGGTAGGGAGGAAGAGCATGAGAAGAAAATTACCTCTAGATAGGGAAGAGAGGTGGGAGGGAAAGGGAGGGAGAATGGGAATTGCATGGAAGAGGGAAGGAGACCCCCTTCATTATACAGAATACAGGTATGATGATGTGAGGGAAAAAAAAAAAAGAAGTGTGTCACATTAGATTGAGTAGAGAGAAGTGATGGGAGGGGAGGGGAGGGGAAGCGGGGAATGGAAGGATAGCAGAATAAAATAGACATTATTATTGCTGTGGGTATATATGTGACTGCATGACCAATGTGATTCTGCAACCTGTACACTCAGAAAAATGAGAAATTATATCCCATCTGATTCAAATATATGGTATGTCAAGATCATTGTACTGTCATGTGTAACTAATTAAAACAAATGTTTAAAAAAGACAAATGAAAGGGAAAAAATAATAATAAACAAGCAAATAAATAAAGGTATTTTAAAAAAAAGCAGAAAAAGAGCAGTGTGAAGAAGAAGAGGCGAGAACGACCCCCGGACCGACCAAAGCCGAGCGCCGCTGCAACCCCGCGTCCAGCGCCTGCGTCCCGCTGCCGTCGCCACCATGCCCAAGAGAAAGGCTGAAGGGGATGCTAAAGGAGATAAAGCCAAGGTGAAAGACGAACCACAGAGAAGATCTGCAAGGTTGTCTGCCAAACCTGCTCCTCCAAAGCCAGAGCCCAAGCCTAAAAAGGCCCCTGCAAAGAAGGGAGAGAAGGTACCCAAAGGGAAAAAGGGAAAAGCTGACACTGGCAAGGATGCGAATAACCCTGCAGAAAATGGAGATGCCAAAACAGACCAGACACAGAAAGCTGAAGGTGCTGGAGATGCCAAGTGAAGTGTGTGCGTTTTTGATAACTATGTACTTCTGGTGACTGTACAGTTTGAAATACTATTTTTTATCAAGTTTTATAAAAATACAGAATTTTGTTTTACTTTTTTTTTTTTTTAAAGCTATGTTGTTAGCACACAGAACACTTCATTGTTGTTTTGGGGGGGAAGGAGCATATGTCACTAGTAGAATGTCTCCAAAGCTGGATTGCTGTGGGGGAAGACACCTTTCCCTTCTAGTTTTGAGAGACTTCCTCTTTGTTCCTAAGAGGAAGGGATTCCCTGATGTTGGCACACATAGCCACCTTGGCACAAATGCCTTGTGGTATGGAAAAACTCAAACTCATCTGTATGTCCTCCTGTCCCTCTCTGCCATTGGCATAGACTTAACTCCCCTACACCTGTTGGGACCTGATTCCCAACAGTTGGTTTTACCAGTGTGTGGGGCAATCTGGACTTTCCAGTGATGTCATTGAGAATAGTGTCTCTCAGAAGAGCAGCAGTTCCTTTTCTAGATTGTGGATCTTCAGATTAATAATTTTTGCCATTTTCCTTTCATTTCCTGAAAGTCAGGGTCGGCTTGTGAAAAGTTGTTAAACAACATGCTAAATGTGAAATGTCAACCCTCACTCTAAACTTTCCCTATTCAGAGCATCAAAYGAAGACTTCATTGGGTTTTATAGTGGCTTTCTGATTTGGGTAGTCCATTCAAGAAGGGAGTTTGAAAGTTGTTGTATACTGTTAACGATTGTCTGCCCATGTCCTGCCTGAAATACCATGATTGTTTATGAAAAGTATCTTTAATAAAGCTGGATACATTTTGAAAAAAAAAAAGCAGAAAAAAATAAATAACCTGAAATCTGACCACATAAAAATAAAAAGCATTAGCACAAGAAAAACAACAACAACAAAAACCTTAAGCAAGCAAAATACAATGTGAAAAACCTAGAGAAAAATCTAAAATTTTAAAAACAGTATCAAGTGTGTAAAGGGATGTGGAACAACCAGAAAGATCACTTTAAAAACTATTTGACAGAGGCTGGAATTGTAGCTCAGCAGTAGAGCGCTTGCCTAGCACGTGCAAGGCCCTGGATTCGATCCTCAGCACCACATTAAAATAAATAAATAAAATAAAGGTATTGTGTCCAACTACAACTAAAAAATAAAATATTTTTTTTCTTTTTCTTTATTTGTTATAATTAGTTACATATGACAGTGCAATGATCTCGACATATCATACATTTGAATCAGATGGGATATAATTTCTAATTTTTCTGCGTGTACAGGTTGCAGAATTACATTGGTCATGCAGTCATAAAAAATAAATATTTAAAAAATAAAAAAGAAATAAAAACTATTTGACAGTGTCTACTAAAGCTAAGGATACATATATCCCATCATCCAGCAATTCTATTCCCTGATAAATATCCAACAAAACAACTTCAAAATGTGAATACAAGAAAAAATATTCAGAGCAGCATTATATGGTCCCAAACTGGGACCAAATCCAAATGTTCATCAACAGTGAATGAAAAATTTGTAGCATATTCACACTATAATACACAGTAATGGAAATAAACTACTACTGTACCCAAAAAATAGAACAATTAGGGAGAAAAAAAACAGAAACAAAAGAACACATACAGCAAAATTTCATTTTTGAAACTTCAAAAATAGGCAAATCTAATGATAAGAGCAGCAGTACTTAGGCATGGGGCTGGAGTAGTTACTAATTAGGACTCTTGATCTTGGTGATATAGTACAGAAATACATAAAATATCATTAAAGCCCATTAAAGGAAAACTGTTTACCCAACACCAAGTCTGTGCTAGGCATCGAACTAGGAAACATAACTGTGAACACTAAGTCATGAACTCTACTATCCAGAAACTCATCATCTGGCCTAGGAAATATCCCTAATTTTATGGGATCAACATCACATATAGAAAATATGCTTTCACCCAAAATGTATTACATGTTGTCATCACCAAAAGCATACATTAAGATAGCAAATATTAATCTTTAATTTACTTACCCATCATAGTAAATGTCTTCCCTGAGCCAGTCTGCCCACTGTGAAAAAGGTTTTATATATATATATATATATATATATATATATATATATTTTTTTTTTTTTTTTTTTTTTAAAGAAAGAGTGAGAAAGAGGGAGAGAGAGAGAGAACTTTAATATTTATTTTTCAGTATTTGGCGGACATAGCATCTTTGTCTGTATGTGGTGCTGAGGATCGAACCCGGGCCGCACGCATGCCAGGCGAGCGCGCTACCACTTGAGCCACATCCCCAGCCCGGTTTTATATATTAACACACAAAATTTAGAAGACTATCCTTCTAATTTTAATATGGTCTACTATTAAATAAATTTTCACCACGAAAAGTTATTCTTTCTATTTCTAAATTATATTAGATAAAACACAAATGATCTAGTTTCTTTCCCTCCAATTCCAGTACTAAGAACCAACCACTATCAATTATCTGGTAAATGCTTCTAGATAATATTCAGAATTTTCATTTACAAAAAGTGAAATTCGTACAGTTATGCAATCTGCTTTGCTCTTAATTTTAACTCAGATATCTAAGTCAGGGAATGATGTCTGTCCCATTGTTTTTAATAACCACATACTATTTAATGCATATGAAATCTTATAGCATAATTTATTTTACCAAAATTAATTGGACCATTTTCAGTTTTTGCTATTCTAAAAAATGCAAAAATTCCTTTCCTAAATGCTTTGTCTTAAGAAGATATTAAATGTCTTTGTTTAAAACTATGGCAATTTTAAAAACCATTATGTAATAATATAGGTTTTATTTTGTGCCCAGAATCCTATCTCCTTTGTTATGTCACTTAACAGAAACAACAAAAAAACTAAAAATTAAAAACTTGTAAGTTAAAAATAAATGTCAATCATAGTGTCAAATGATTTTAGCTCAGATTTACAGCAAAAAAAAAAAATTAAAATTCTGCCAGGCACATCAGTGTACACCTGTAATCCCAGCTACTTGAGAAGCTGAGTCAAAAGGCTTGCATGTTCGGAACCCGCCTCAGCAACTTAGCAAGACCATGTCTCAAAAATAAAATAGAAAAAGAGCTGGGGATGTAGCTCAGTAGTAGAGCAACCCTGAGTCCAATCCCAAGTACTGCAAAAGAAAGAGAAATAGAAAAAGAAAAACAAAGAAGAAGAAAAAAGGTGACAAAGAAAAAGAAAAGGGCTGAGTGATAGTGCCTCTGGGCTCAATTCTTAGTATTGCAAATAAAGAATAAATAATAAATAAAGTATTAAATTTTCTTTTTGGTCAGGTGTCCCCCCAAACCAGAAAAAGGATGTTCTAATTGTTATCTCCTAATTTTAGAAGTACGGAGGAAAGTTCTTTGGTAATTCAGAATGAGAAATGGATATTACTGAGTACTCTACAACTAGAATAACCCTATGAACTACTGTCCCAACAGGCACTTGAGAATGAAGGGCCTACCATTAACAATTACTCTAGAATTAGCACTGTCCTAGGCAAACCAGAAAGTATAATCACCCAACAAATAAATCACTCATTTCTAAGTGCTTCTTATTTCTACTCACAACTCCAAAGTGATTTTCATTAAGTTATTAGTGAGTATGTCATAAATTAAATATTATTAGTAGTATGGCTTACAGGATCCTCAAAGAAAAGAATTGTGAAGATATACAATCTCTGCAATTGAGGCTATTTCAAAATCATTTTGAACTTCAACACTCCAAATACTCTATGGAAAAAGTCTTTAATCTCTGAGGAAGATACATCAGGAAACAGTTTTCAGCCTCATAGCTCAAGAGAACATTTAGTTCTGCTGATTACATGAAAAATAAACACGAAAAGCAAAGGCAAAGTGGAATATATGTGCAGAGTGAGTGCTAGGCTTTTAACTTCTTAATATATTCTTTATTTTCTTGTTTTTTGAGCAAGTTATAGAAGAACCAGGATACATAGACAGAACAAAAACAAAACAAACCCCTTGTACCTAACAGCTGCTCAAAATGAATACAAAAATCAGTACATCTATTAAAACCTTCTAGTTCTACATAGATTTAGGAAAAAAAAAAATCACACTATCATGACGCCTTCTGGACTTAAGCTATTATTCCAACATCAAGCCCGCTGCAACGTCTGCAGGCTGCCAACATTAGAAAAACAGGATCATTGTTCACTTCAGATATATACATGATTGAGTAGATATAAAATGCTACAGCCACTTTAAAATATAGTTTGGCAGTTTTTTATAAAGTTAATCATAGACTTACCATACGATCCAGAATTGGCATTCCTAAGTATTTACTCAAGTGATTTGAAAACTTATGTTCACACAAATACCAAATTTAAATGTTTATGGCAGCTTTATTCACAATCACTAAAAAAGGAACCCAGCAAGATGTCCTTTAAAGGGTGAAGGCATCAACAGACTGGCGTGTCCTCACATACAAAAAAAATACTATGCAGCAAAAAGGAATAAACCATGAATGTAGACAACACAGACAAACCCAAAGGGCATTTACTAAGATTAAGAAGCCAGATTCAAAAGGTCACATATTGTATGATTCCACCTATGACACTCTGGAAAAGGCAAACTATAGGAATGGAAAATACATGAGTATACCCTGGATGACAAGGATTGGGAGGAGCAGGGTGTGGCTGACTACAAAGAGGACCCCTAGGGAATTTGAAGGTGAAGGAACTCTGTGGTACCAACAGAAAATACCTGATACCATGCATCTGTCAAAACCAATACAACTATAAAGCACAAAGGTTGAACTTTAAAGTATGCACACAAACAAAGCATAGCCACCAGGATATTAAGGATCTCAGAAAAGAATATTATAACTGCAGAGAAGTGAGCAGGTAGGAAAGGAGTTGACCTAAAAAAGTTTAGAAAATGGATTTTGACTCAAAATTATAAGGCTTAAAAAAAAAAAAGAACTGTACATAAACACTATACTCAGTAAAAATTCATCTCATAGAGATACAGGCAAATAAATCCGAAACTGCTTTACCTGTATACTAGGTTACACAAGTTAGTAAATGAATGGTAAACAGTAGAAGTCAGGTTTCTCACTACCAGCAAGGAAAGTTAACAGTGGTTATGGATTAGGATCAGCCATCAGTATGAAATAATGTTTCCCTTTACACACATGTACTCACAAAGGGATAGGCACAGAAACAATTATAGATATACATGACTTAGTATATATACATATATGACTTAGATCTGTCTACTGAGAAGGCCTAGAAACTGTCACTCTTCAATTCCAACAAACACACCTACCACCCAGATCTTGGTTTCTAAAAAAAAGAACAAGGATTCCTTGAGCCCAGAGCATCTTGTAATATCACAAAATAAGGAAGAACTCAAAATACACAAGGGTAGAATATGGCAAATGGACACAGAAACCAACCTCAAAGAGCTCCCAGGGGCCAAAGTTGAATGATGTGAGCAACCAAATAAATAATGTAGCATTGGATTATAACCCAAAGTATGCTATAAATATACATATGTCCATATGAAAGAAAGAAGACAAATCTTTATATTTATTTATTTTTTTGATGCTGGGGATTGAACCCAGGTATTGTGCATGCAAGGCAAGCACTCTACTAACTGAGGTATATCCCAGCCCCAAGAAGACAAATCTTTCTTACAGAAGAATTTCAAATATAACATATAGATACTCTCTTCTCCATAAAGCAGAGCTTAATCCCACACCTTGATTATCAGGTGGGGCTGAGTTAATCACACAAGTCCTTAAAATCCAAGAACCTTGTCCACTATAGTTAAAGGGAGATGTGACTAAGAAAGATGAATTGAGGGATTTTACATTGCTGGCTTTGAAAATCAAGAAAGGGGGCTATAAGCCAAGTAATCTGGGTGGCCTCTAGAAACTAGGAAAAGAAAGAAAATAGATTTTCTATTACAGCTTCCTAGAAAGGAACATGACCTTGTTAACACCTTGATTTTAGCCCAGTCAGAACTATGTTGAAATTTTTTTTTCCTGGTACTGGAGATTGAACCTAGGGGCACTTTACCACTGACTTATATCCCAGCCCTTTTTACTTTGAGACAGGATTTCCCAAAATTGCTGAAACAGAGACTAATAAATTTATATGGTTTTAAGCAACTAAGTTTGGGGCAATTTATTACAATAGCAATAGAAAGCTAATAAAAAGCCAATAAAAACATTTATTACTATACCCTTATATGTGGATACAGTCAACAACTTACTATGCCAAGATGGTACCATTATAGCCGCTCATGCAAGACTCCACAATGCTTTTAGTTACAGTTGAGAATACAGATTCCTACAAATGTAAGTACCAAACATGTTAACATTTCAGAAAAATGAAAACCTTTTCCTAAACTATATTCTACAATATAATGAGAAAAACTGAGTGCCAAGATTTTTTAAACAAACTTATGACATCATGGTTACATCCTCTATAGAAAAATGTCTGAAACATCTAAGCAATAAAATTTTAACCATAATTAAATCTATTAATCTCCCATATAATTATAGATTTAAAGTGCACATCTATCAAGGGCAGGACAGAGTCTGGCCAAATATCAGTACCTGAGAAAGTTAACTCAGTGCCTACTTGACTGTCTTGCCCTTCATTATTTCTATGAAATAGAGTTCGTCTTATTTTTAAAAAGTGTTGATGTTAAGTTTATAAACTTTAAAAAAACTGAATTTCATGTAAAATTTTTCATAGCATATTGCATGCAAATATTAATCTGGTATTAACAAATAACCCTACGACTTATTCAGTTATTTTCTCATAAGTTTATACTAAATAATATCTGATTTTTATTTTGAATTTTGCATATAAGTAGACGCAGTCTTTTCAACAACTCAAGAACCCCTAAATCTACATTGTCCACGAGCCACACTTGACTATTGAGTACCTAAACATTGCTAGTCAAAATTGAGATGAGTTGAAAGTGTAAGACACATGCTAGATTTTTTTTTTCTTTTGGGGGTACCAAAGATTGAACCAGGGGTGCTTAACCATTGAACTCCATCCCCAGCCCTTTCTAAACTTTTTTTTTTTTTTTTTTTTTGTGGTGCTGAGGATTGTCTAAACTTTTTTATTATAAGACAGGATCTCGTTAAGTTGCTGGCTTCAAATTTGCAACCGTCCTGCCGCAGTCTCCTGAGTCACAGGGATTACATACATGTACTACCACGCCTGGCCACACACTAGATTTTGAAGACTAAGTGTAGGAAAAAAAAAAAAGGAAAATATCTCAATAATTTACACTGATTACATGTTGAAATGATACTTTGGACATATTGAGTTAAATAAGATATATTTCTAAAATCAATTTTACCTGAGTCTTTATACTTTTCTTTTCAATGTGTCTACTAGAAAATTTAAAATTATACATGTGGCTTTTATATTTCTATTGGCTAGCAATGCCATAGATGAAAAGATAAATGATCTAAAGCTCTAAATAGCTCACCAAAAACATATGTATAAGAGAATAATCAAGACCCATGATGTACAGTATAGTAAGAATTAGCTATATGTGGCTACTGAAGTTTAAATTAATTAAAATTAAATAAAACTTAGTTCATCAGACACACTAGCCACATTTCAAATGCTCAAAATAGTCACAATTACCTAATGTACATAAGGCACCGATTTAAAATTTTATTTAATTTTAATTAAACTTAGTCATGTGGCTATAGATTACTGTGATAAACAGCTCAGATATAAAAGATTTCCATTAATGCAAAAAGTTCTATTGGCTAGTGCTGACTAGATCTTAATTAAATTTGCCTTATTGTCATCATAGTAATTCTAAAATCCTTAAACTAGGTGGCTAATTGTACTCATCAATCACTCAAGCGGCCCCGAAAAGTACTCCTCCATTAACCTCCATCACTGAGTGAAGAAGCAAAGTAAAACAGGCTTGTGTCATCCTATCACAAAATTCGATGAATAAAGAAGAAAGCTATTTAGTAAAATTAGAGTTGAAATATTCATAGAATGTTTGAACTTATCTTAAATCAATCAAACTAAAGAGATCAAAAATGAAATCTTTACAAATAACAAAGACTTGTATATTTCAAGTGAAAAGTTAAGCTTCCAGTTTTCATTACCTGCGTGGTGTCCATGTCTGCAACATAATCAAATGTGAAGATCTTGGGCTCAGGGCTGGAATGCAACCGGAGACTTGTTGTGGAAAGCACAGATAAGCACAAGCCATGCTCTCCATCAACTGACCTAGAGCCCTCGGCAGGTGGACGAATTCGCACAAAAATTTTGATGGCATCACCTTCATTACTAAAGAAAAAGAAAGTAACAGCTAAGTTTATTGGAGAAAAGAAATTATAAAGGATCCGAGTTTCATGTTGCATCTAATATTTCTTATAATAAGTTTCCCCAACAAAGTCCAAGACATGCTCCATTTAAATTTACCTCTTATAAGAGTCTCAATGACCCACACTGTTTATTGAGTTAGTTCATGATAGGCACCTTCATAAACCTTTACTGGAAATAAAGGGAGTTCTTTTCAAAGGGATATAAACACTGCTTGTCTCTCATTCCCTCTTACCAGCAAAAATAAAAGTCATTCCAAGGGAGAATTATGTAACCAATCCCTTATTTTAATTTGGGAATTAAGAGGGCAGGGGAAGTATATTATTTTCCCATATTTCCAGCTGATTGAGGACTAAGCTAAATTTTAAAACAAGTACTCCTTACTATGCTAAATACTTATTCTAGAAATATAAAATTGCTAATTCTTTGGGGGCTCATCAATAAGACTTTTTTCTTACCTTGGCAGGTTAGACTGAGAATTTGTCACATTGCGTAACTCAGCTAAAAAAAAAAAAAAAAAAGATAAATCATTAAAGATGATTATAATTAGTTTATGGAAACCCCATTCTCTAACTTGTTCCTCAGTTGCTGACACTCTTCAGTCTCCCCATCCCTCACATCCATGGTGTGATGCTCCTGGGCTGAGGCCTTGATCCTCTTACCTATTCTATCTCAACCCATTAAGGTGGTAATGCTGTCCAGCCCCATGGTTTTAAAAGCTAGGTATATACTGATGATTCCCAAATTTAAATGTTCTCTCTAGATTGCTTTCCTAATTGCCTACTTGAAATCTACAACTGGAAGTCCAAGGGGTAATGTCTCAAATTTAATGTGTCCAAACCTGCTCCTGATTCCCTTGTGCCAAGCCAATGTTCTGCTTCATCTCAGTAAATCACAATTCCATCCTTCCCGTTGTTCAGGCCAAAAATCATAGTCATCCCTAACCCCATTCTTTCTCACTGGAGCCAATCTGTCAGCAACTCCCTGTCTCTAACTTTAAAATATATCTGTAATATTAAACTTCTTGCCAAATCCACTGCTACCACTGCAGAATCAAGCCAGCAACATCTTTTACTTGGGTTATTACAACAGTCTCCCTGCTTCTCTCACTCCCCTGAGACAGAGACTACCATAGGGATAAAGGACAAATGCAATCCTGGGCCTTAAATCATGGGCTGACAGCCATTAAAAGATAGTACAAGATTTTTCTTTGCTCTCTCACCTTAACTCATTGCTTGTAAGGTATGAAAAGCTTGGTATGGGCCTTACCCATTCCCCTCAAACAACTTTATTAGCTTCAGAAACTAGGTGCCTAATTAGGATCAGGATGCTCTTGCCATGACTCTCTGAGGACAAACAACATGAAGAATAAAAACTGTTGAGAAACCATCAAAATTGCAAATTCCCAGGCCCTTAATTTGATGCCTGCCATAATTTGTGTTCTCTTCCATGCCCCACCTTTGGGTTCTCTTAACAACTACCGAGACTTCCTTATTACAAGACAAATGTTTATATGGAATATGGCATCAATATTGAAAACTAACATTTGGCTCCAGGATAACTAACTGATCTTCCTCAGAGTTAAAGTGCTCTCACAGGAAAAGAACCAATACATCCAGAACTTGGAGGACTTCAAATAGGAGAAAACCAAAGAGGTGTACAGTTAGACACATTATACTAAATATTCTGAAAGTCAAAACCAAGAAAAAAATATTGAAAGCAGCAAAAAAAGGCCTGTTGTTACAAGGAGCAAGACGAAATCCCATACCATCCCACTCCCTCCAGCCAACACATATTCACATTCCATATGCTACCCTCCTAATTGTCATTTAGTAGCTGCTTCAGTTATCGTCTAGTGTTAGGTATCAGTGTTTTTGTTCAAGTAAGCTTTGCAGCCTGTGTCACATTGCATAGCTCATTCATCTCAATTATCTTACAGATAGGCATTGTATCATCTCATTTCAGAAAAGGAAGGATGAATACAGTAAAATTTTTAGAAAGACCACATTCACATAACTATTATTACAGTGTACTATTCTAACTGTTCTTATTATTTGTTATTGTTAGTATGTTACTGTGACTAATTTACTGGGAGTCTTGGAATGTATCCTTGAGGATAAAGGGCGACTACAATAAAGATATTGCTGCAATCTGTGCTTTAAATTCCTTTATCTGCAAGAGAAAGACGTGTTTGGGACATAGATAAATCCTTCCTTTTGAGAAAGTCAGAAATATGGAAACCTGCAGAAGGTAGTGATCACTGAGTAAGGGCTGACCCTCAGGCAGGGCCACTTAGACAGGCAGCCCGCAGCGGACAAAGAAGAGGGCCGGCAAAGAAGCAGCAAGATGGAAAGAAGGAAAAGGAAGAACAGATTCTAGTCTTGGGGCTCCGGTTCTCCACTGTTGTTCCCGAGCAGAAGTGTGCCAGCTCCCCTCACGCGCCAATATGCAGAAGGAACGCTGAGAGTGGTCTGCCAGCTCGCTCTCTGTGCAGCACGGATTCCAAGATGATCACCGATTTTTCCTGTCCTTCACCTGGGACAACCCTACGGGAAGCCTCGCGACGTCGTATCTCGGGTGGTAACTGGGTCACGAAACCGCGGCCCCCGACTTACTTTTGCAGCCTGGCGCCATAGCGCCCTCAGCCCTGGACCTGGAACCTGCTCAGCCGACACTTTCACCTCCCGCCCAGCAGCGGTCCCGCCAGCCCAAGATGGCGAGAATTTGAATTTGGCGCTCCGGCCAGACGCTGACGACACACGCACACCGACTTGCCCGGTCTCCGTCGGGGCGTGGCCTTGGCGTCATCGGCGAGCGCCGTCACATCTGGGGACTGTCAGAGAGCCCTCGAAAGGGTTTTACCCAGATCCGCCATGAGCAAGCGGAACCAGGTGTCGTACGTGAGGCCCGCCGAACCCGCCTTCCTGTCCCGCTTTAAGGAGCGAGTCGGGTACAGGGAAGGGCCCACCATAGAGAGCAAGGTGAGCGCTGCAGTCGCGTTACCTCGGAAACGCTCCCGGTCCACCATTTCCGGCTCCTGCAGGCCGGTTACTCCTCACCCCAATTTGGTGGACCTCGGACCGTGGCAGGACTTGTTCAAACCATACATCCTCCTGCGTCTAGGAAGCTCTGTTTTAGAGCGCAGCTGCTTTCTGGAAAATGACCTGACGTAGGTGAAGCTCCTGGTCCTTAGTTAAGAAAAATGGCTTTCTTGTCTCTTTTCGCCTGCATATCGCAGAACCTGTGAGCAGGTTGGATAATAACACCGTCCCCATTTTCCAGCTGAGAGGACAGGCCGCTCGGTCAAATGACCTCCTAAGATTTGAGTCTCGAATGTATTTTGATGAACGCCCTGTATCTATTTCTGTTTTGTTGTTAAAATAAATTAAGCATATTCTTAAAAGCAAAGTAAGCAAAACCTTAAATACGATGGGACGGGATGTCAGTAGGAATCAACCACTGAGCCCTCTTGGGCTTCTGCTTTAGCTGGTTCACACCAAACCTGCCCCAACTCTTTCAGTGGTAACAGACCATTATGCTTAGAGGATGCATGGGAAAACAGTTTTATTTAGCATTGTGTCTCTAGTATCTGCACAAAGGTCACTTAGAGAGGACAAAATTGATTTACATGAAGTTACTCAATACATTGAGTATGTGCTAAACCCAGCACTGTGCCAGGCTCTGAAAAGACAGAGATGGATTTCTAAAGTGTCATTTTCTTTTTAACACTTCCTGCCCTGCTTGGTATCTGTAGGCACAGCCCATCATCTCTCTGAAGGCCTTCAGAACCCCTAGTTATTCTTTTTCCTACTTGTTACTTAATCCATATCTCCTCTATAATACTCATTTTGTATTTCATCCACTTGTGCCTCTCCTCTGTATCTCCTTCACTAAATCAGACTCTCTAAATTCCTACCGGAATCACTCTATTGTCCAAGCACTGTGTCTGCCATTAATGAATGGAGTTAAAATTGGTTGGATGCCTGCTTGTTTCAGGCAAGGTTTCGTGGAGGAGGGGTATTTGGATTAAATCTTGAGCACTGGTAGGTTAGCAATTAGAGACAAGGGAACTGCATGGGTAAAGGTGTGGAGGATTGTGAGTTATGGACTATATGTAGAAGCAGTGGAGGGACAGTAATAGTAATGACAGTAAGTTTTGAGAAAAGGGACATGGATTCAACAATCAACGCAGGAGATGTAACTATTGTTTTTGGTCATGGGGATCAGTCACTCTGATTTTTACCTCTGTGGTAACAATTTTTTTTTTTTTTTTAGTTGTAGATGGACACAATATCTTTATTTTATTTATTTATTTTTATGTGGTGCTGAGGATTGAACCCAGTGCCTCATGCATGCTAGGCAAGCACTCTACCACTGCCCCTGTGGTAACAATCTTGATTGTAACAATCTTCCCAAACAATTCTTAATGAATTTGGCAATACAATCAGCATTTTAGTGATCTGTTAACAAAAAGAACTGACTTTTGTGGGAAATCATAATAATTGAGATAAATCATCTTATTGATCTTCTTGAGAGTTAATTCAGAAGTGGCTTTAAACAGTCACTGTTCCTTACAATGTTTCTTTAGTTTTCTAGTTAGTCAAATAAAAAGAGAGAATCAGAATTAATGATTCTCATGTCTAAAGAATATTAGAAATAATTTTACTTTTCCATTTCCTTGCTAAAAATGCTTAATTACCTACTTGATTGTGATCACTTATTAGAAATGTTTAGAGAAAAATAGGCAGCAACTGGTGAATAGTCAATAAACTAACAGATATTATTAAAGAGAATGAGCTTATTGAATAATGGGACTTGGGCACTTAAGACCCAAGTCTTCTTAAAAGATGAATGAACTTGTAACTAACTTGTCAGGATTTCAGATTGTTCAGCATTAATCCTTCTATTGGTTATTCATTAGTAGATCAGCAAGTATTTCTTGAGTCCCTTCTATTTTCTAGGCTGTGTGCCTCTAGATACAGAGGTGAAACACAGCGCCTCTCTCAAAGGAGCTTGCTTACTGGAGACAGACAAAGCATTGAAAACACAGTGTGGTAGTTGCTTTCTATGAGCTATGTACAGTGTACAAAAGAAAAAGAGGTGAGATTCTAGAAGATCTGAGTCCTAAAGGCTGCTTGAATAGCAGTTGGCTAGAGGCAATGGGGATTTTTTCAGAGACAAAGGAGGAGATAAAGGAGCCGTTTTGTTTGGAGATCTCCAAGTACTCAAACCTGACTGCAGTCTAGAGCCACAAGAGAGTGGTATGGGAGAAAGCTGTAGTCATAGGCTAATGCCAAGTCATGCAGGGCTTTGTACCGTGTTAGGGACACAGAGTTCAATGAGAAGTGGAATAATGAGCTGTTTGAATAATATGTTGAAGACACTTTTGGTGTGCTTATCTTTCAACCCAACAGTTCCACTTCCAAGAATTTGTCTACATATAAGTTTCTAAAAATGAGCAAAGATGTATACAAGGTTTTTCTCATAGTAGGAAAAAGCTCTTAAACAACCAAAATTTTTATTTATAGGGTACTGGGAAAATAAATCATGAAATGGCCATATATATAATTAAATACAAGGCAGTAACTTGATAAAATCAGGTAACTATAATCTCAAAGTATTGTGTAAAGATATTTTTCAGTTAAAAAAAAATGAGGGGGCTTTTACCGTGTCTGGCATTTTTTAGAAATCTCAAACAACTGGCAAAATGTTACCATTTAGCATTTGTGTATAATGAGTCCATGTTTTCTTTTATGTTATTCCCTGTACTTTATGTTTGAGAAATTTCATAATTTAAATTAAAAAAGATGTCATAATATTCACAGTTTGATTATGTGCAAAATGTTTTCTATACCTATATATTTGTATATACTTGGAAACAGCTGAAGTTCTTACATGGGATAAGGAATGAACAGAGGTAGGAGAAGAACACTTCTTACTTGCTGCTTACTTTGATGGCATTTGATTATTTTCTGTCTTACTCTGAGAAAAGACAGAGGTAAAAAGTGTTGATGAGTGGGGCATGGTGGTGCACACCTGTAATCCCAGCAGCTCTGGAGGTGAGGCAGGAGGATCACAAGTTCAAAGCCAGACCCAATCTCTAAATAAAATACAAAAAAGGGCTGGGGGTGTAGCTCAGTAGTTGAGTGCCCCTGAGTTCAATCCCCAGTACCAAAAAAAGAAAAAAAGTGTTGATGAGGAGCAAAGAGAATTGATATAGCTTAGCACTGTCCTGAGTAGACCAGGCATGATGGAATTACCCAAAGCAGAGGTCCCCTATCACATAAATGCAAACAGGAATCCTCCTGATTTGGAAATGAATCCCATTGGATAGGCATCCAGGATGACTGGCAGGTAAACCTGTTCCCTAATGTGGTGTAGTTAGATTCTTTGCAGTTACTTGAAAAATTATTTCCTATCTCATTTAGTTGTTACGTTACCCTTCTCATTTTAATCATTACACTTGTTTACAGAGGCAGTACTTGTCATTACTTCAAGATCAGTAATCTACATGCTGTATTTTGTTTTCTCCTAGAGAATCCAGCCTCAGCTCCCAGATGAAGATGCTGATCACAGTGACCAAGAAGATGAACGGCCCCAAGTGGTGGTTTTAAAAAAGGGAGACTTGACAGCTGAAGAAGTCATGAAAATTAAAGCAGAAATAAAGGCTGCAAAAACAGATATATCTGAAAGTAATTTGATTTCTCTAATAATTTAAGGAGCCTGGAGTATGAAATTGCCTTATTTTATAAAATAGAGAGGCTTGTTTGAAGGAGCTGGTCCTTGGTTCAAGTCTTGATTTTGGCACTTCACCAGATATGAGATCTTGAGCCAGTTATTTCATCTCTGAGCCTCAAGTTCCTTGTTAATCAAATGGAGACAACAAGTGTACTTAGTGTGTTGTTTTGAGGATTAGGGGTGAGTTTAAGTAAAAGCCCCATATTTAAAACAAACAAAAAAAAGTAGTAAAGTTTACAAACAAGTCAATGAAGTTCTATGTAATAATTAGTGCCTGAAATGTGGTTTCCTAACAACTATTACATTGCTTTGTGGGAAAATACAGTAGTTCCAAACACTTTTCAAAAATACTTAAAAATACAACCTGATTGGACTAGGGATACAGCATTTGCAAGCGAATGCTAATCTTGAGGGGCATATAACTAGAGGCCCAAACTGAATTTACTCCAAAGATATCCTTAAATACAGTATGAGAATATTTTTGCCATTTGACTCTTGTTAATGGCAAAATAATGAGAAAAAAAATCTTTAACTTTGTTTTTGCTTCAGATGAAGAACCAGCTCCAGCTGATGGAAGAATCATGTATCGAAAACCAGTCAAGCGTCCCTCAGATGAAAAATATTCAGGTTTAACAGCAAGCTCAAAAAAGAAGATAACAAGTGAAGACAAAATAAATAAGCAGGACTTAGTTAAGAAGAACTCACAAAAACAAATAAAAAACACCAGCCTCCTTTCTTTTGACAATGAAGAGGAAAACGAGTAAGTGTAAAGCATTTTGTACTTAGTCTTCTTTGAAAGTACATAAGGTATTTTTAAAAAATATTTCTTTTTTTATGTCTTTTAAAATAACATTTTTCCCTGTTACACAAGTTCATCTTAGAAAATACAGAAAAAAAATTTAATAAAACAAAATTTATGTCTATCCATCAATAATCCTTTGGCAGGAAATGTCAACTTTATAGATATTGACATTTTGTTACTTGCAATATGTGTGTATATATGTATGTAAATTATATTTTATAAACAAAATTGAGATTGTATTATGTGTGTTTTCTGTCCTCCCTTCTTAGATGACATTACATTGTGAGCATTTTTTCAGGTCATCAAACTTCATAAATCTGACATTAATAGTGACAGAGAATTTCATAATTAAATGAATTCCCCTTATTGTATCTTCTCCATTAGCAGAACACTTTGAGTGAGGGAGATGATAATGCAACTAGTTAAAAATACTTCCCTAGCTGGGTGCAGTAGCTCACTCATATCTATAATCCTAGTGACTCCGTGCTGGGGCAGGAGGATTGCAGGATCAAGGCAAATATCAGCAACTTAATGAGGCCCTAAGTAATTTAGCAAGGACCTGATAGTAAAGCACCTCTGAGTTCAATCCCTGGTACCAAAAAAAAACCACACAGTTCCTGCTAAGGGTGGCCCTGTTACTCTTCTCTGGCAAGGTAAAAGTTGCAGGTGGAAGCCTGCTTAATAAAGATGCTGGGTTTTTTTATACAAAAGAATGGGCTTGAAAAATATGAGCCTTTGCCCTTATCTCTTCATCCTGCTTGGAGTACAGACATGAAAGCTAGAAGTAGCAGAGCTGTGGTTTTTTGGCATACAGAAGACAACTACTTTCTGGGGGTATTAAAGTGGAAAAATTGAAGGAGCTTGGATCTTTATGGCATGCACCAGACTTGGATTGCTAGCCTCTGAACTTCTTCATACATAAGAAGAATAACCACTATGCTTATTTAAGCTTCTGACAGGTTTCTCTTAAAGGGTCCTGCAGTCAAATGCCATCCATCCCTACAGGCTGGGGTTGTAACTCAGTGAAAGAGCACATACCTAGCATGGGTGAGGCACTAGGTTCAATTCTCAGCACCACATAAATAAAGGTCCACTGACAACTTAAAAAAATTTTTTTTAAAAATGTCATCCCTAAGTGATACAGTAAATAACTGGTTAAACATGAGTGTATTTCTGATGATTGAATGAATTACTGGAAGCATTTTTTAAACATTTATATTATTTATTAAGAGTTAAAAGTATTTGAATATTTTTAAAGCAGATGTTTAGTAAAAATTGCTTTTCTGTTTGTTTTGGTTTTTACCATTTTGTTCATTAAGCAACCCTAAGAGGCCACTTGACCTCAGGCAGTTATTCTGCCTGAGGTCAAGTGGCCTCTTAGGGTTTGGGTCAAGTGGCCTCTTAGGCTTTGGGTTGACACTAGGCTTTTTCTTTTTTTTTTTTTTTTTTTTTTGGTCAACTTCCTATTTTCAAATGGTACTTAATAGGTTAAGTTCAATTGGCATTTTCTTTGATCTACCAATGAAGCTAAACTTCATTTTTTTTAAGTTTTTTTTTAATACCTTTATTTTTATTTATTTAATTTTATGTGGTTCTAAGGATTGAACCCAGTGCCTCACAAGTGCCAGGCAAGCGCTCCCACTGAACTACAACCCCAGCCTAAGGCTAAACTTATGATGTTAACTATTCTTTTCTATTCCTTGAATTAACTTTTTGTTAATTTCCATTAGTTTAGTCATGTTTCCCTTACTAATTTATAAATTGTGTAATTTATGAACCTTTTGTTCTGTCTCAGATAAAGAATCACCTCACAAGGCATAATCCCAGTGACTCGGGAGGCTGAGGGAGAAGGATCACAAGTTCCAGGCCAGCCTCAGCAACTTAAGGAGACCCTATCTCAAAATGAAAAGTAAAAATGGCTGGTGGTATAGCTCAGTGGTAGAGTGCCCTGGGTTCAGTCCCCAGTATCAAAAAAACAATCACCTTTAATCGCTTGTTCTTTGTTTCATTTTTTACATTTTGAACTTTATCCCACCTGGAATTAAAATAGATATACTTTTTTTCTCTCCAGTAATCAATTATTATAGACCCATGCCTGCTTCTCATTTGAAAGGCCATCTGAATGAGAGGTTTTTCCAAATGTTGGGATAGGGAAAGAAGAGAAGCATTGTAAAGCCTGCAGCTTTCCAGGTAATTCCTCAAGCACCTGCTTAATGCTAATAATTTTTGTCATTAGTAAAAGTCACCCAAAACTGGGGGCTTAAGACCCCATCTTCACCAGCCACATCTGTCTGAAATTAGGAATTTCAGAGCATCCTGTCATGAATTTGGTGCCATATCTGTCTCCTCCATTTTAATATCCAAAGACTACTCCAAAGCAGGGTGTGGGAGAAAGACTACTCACAGTTGACCTGTAGGTGGAAAGGGAGTCCTGATATAGGCTCTTTCTAAATTATTCAACTAGTCCTGAAGCCATTCTGCAATACTCTCTTTAATGTATACTCATTTGTTATGTAAGCCATGGTGTTTTGTTTTGTTTTTGGTTTTTTTCCTCTTTCTATTTATATTATTGTTCTATTCTTGAACCATAACTATACTGGTTTATCACCACTGTATCCTCAAAACCCAGAAGAATACCTGGCATATTAGGTACACAATAAATATATTTAGAATGAATGAGAGTGTTGTCTTTAATCTTTTCATAGGTCAGTGGACCCTGGGCCAGCAGCACCAGAGCCACTTAGGAAAAATGCAGATTCTCGGGCCTTGCTACTAAATCAGAAGCTTGGTGTAGTTTACCTAGCTCTACAAGTCTGAAAGGTGGTTTTGATATGAGAACCACTCATAAGACTATTAGAACTATTATAAGAAATAAAATGAAAATTTTAAGCAAGAACTGTGAAAAACTATTATAAAGTCTTAAATCTTACAAATGCATCATATTAAGGAGACCTTTACTGCAATTGATACATGTAACAATGTAAATGTAATTACTGTGAGTTTACCTCCTCCCCACTACCCCCCATATCCTCAGACCCTCAGATTCCTGAGGGTGAATGACAGAACTGATTGTAGCAAGGGGAGCTGGCCCTCTCTTCTTGCACAAGTTTCATTCCTTGGATCCTATCTATAATATTTTTATGGTCAGACAGACCCATAACATATCTTGCCTGGTTTCTGGCCCCTTCCCCGGCTCATCTCTAAATTCAGTGTCTCTTCTCACTCAGTGTACCTTACCCAGTCCAGTTTCCTGGGGATGCATCTAGCTGTGCTCTACTCTGTAGGAGTCAAGTTGCCCCATATATCGAGAAGCTTCCAATTCCTGTAACATATGAAACTTACTAAAGGGGCTTAGAAGCTGATAAGGCTGTCCTGGGGTTGCTCTTGCCACCCTGGTTTCCATAGGGCCCTGTGACAGCACAGATGACAGCAGAGACAGCATATATTGGTTCCCAAACAAGTTCACAAGCCCTTTTCTCCTACGAGCTTGCCTTCAAATCCCAAGGGTTCTGTGGGCCATTAAGCCACAACATGCTGGTGTGAGAAGAAAGCTAAACTCAAAGCCAAAATGTAGTGCACTCCTATCTATGCCCGGGATGGTGGGTTTGGGATCTATTAGATTCCTCTTCAGAGGACTCTGAAGGTAAAGGTGCCACATGGCAGAAGGCAGCACCCCTTCAGTTCTGCCACATCCTGGCATGTAACACCCAGCACATTCCTTCTCTCTTTTGGCTTCACAGAGGCCCTTTAATGCTTCCTGGGAAGGAGATATTGAAAAAAAAAAAAAAAAAGCATTTGCTGGGAGGAGAAACAAAATTTTTTCTGCACATCCTATTTATTTAAGAAGGTCTATGAGCTTAGGAGGACTCCAGGAGACAACATAGGCAACTAGGCCACCTAAAACAGGATCTAGGGTAGGAACATTGGCTCAACTGGTCACTAAAGCCACATCTTGCTGATCTAGGATGACTGACCATCCAGCTCACCCAAGATTAAGGGGTCTCCTGGGGTATAGAACTTTCAGTGATAAAACTGAGTAAGTCCCAGGGAACACCGACACTGATTTCTTTTTTTTTCCTTCCTCCCCTCCCCTCCCTTCCTTCCTTCCTTCCTCCCTTCCTTCCTTCCTTCCTTCCTTCCTTCCTTCCTTTTCTTTCCCCAAGTGTTTCCCCTTGCAAGAGACCCTCTTAAGGTGGGTACACATTGAGTGCCTGCTCTAGTCCATCCACTATTCTGTTCCCAGGAACTCATAGTCTATTGGAAGAAACCAATCAAATTATTATTATTATTATTATACCAGGGATTGAACTCAGGGGCACTCAACCACTGAGCCACATCCCCAGCCCTATTTTGTATTTTATTTAGAGATGAGTCTCACTGAATTGCTTAGCCCCTTACCATGGCTGAGGCTGGCTTTGAATTCACAATCCTCCTATCTCAGCCTCCCAGGTCGCTGGGATTACAGGTGTGTGCCATCATGCCCGGCCCCCAAATTATTACACAATGGGTTGGATGCTGGTACAGAGTTTCTTGCACCCAACATTTGTTCCACCTCTTTTTTAAAAAAATTATTTTTAGATATTGTGCCACATCTTCTGATTTTAGTTGGGAACCTTTGTGAAAAACAAACAAAAAACACCAGTATCTGTGAACTTCTCCTATTAAGGTTGAGTGTAACATTATGAGGGGGGAGGGTTTGTTCCATTGGTTGTTTGATTTTGTTTTTAAACTGTCAGTACTCATATTTCATCCAAACCTGGCGTGGAACCAGATATATATATATACATAGATAGATAGATAGATAGATAGATAGATAGATAGATAGATATAGATATAGATATAGATATAGATATATAGATAGATATATGGTTTTTTAAAAAATATTTTGTTTATAAATATGGCAGGTATATCTTTAACAATGTCTATTTTTATAAAATAATCATTATAGCTGTGCATGGTGGTGCACATTTGTAATCCCAGCAACTCAGGAAGCTAAGGCAGTAGGATCAGAAGTTTAACCTGGGCACCTTAGCAAAACCCTGTCTCAAAAACAAACAAAAAACAAACACTGTGGTAATAGTACTCCCGAGTTCAATCCCCAACACCACAAAAATAATAATTATTTTTAAAAATAATCATCACTCAATACATAATTCATTCTTTATTACCTATTACCATCTTCCACTAGACCATATTCAAATTTCCCCAATTGTCTCAAAATGTCTACAGTGGATTTGTTAAAATAAGAAACCAAACAAACTCCATTATATTTGGTTAGTTTGTTTCTTAAAATATTTTAAAATATATAATATTTTTAAATGTATAATTACTCCTCTCCTCTTCCTTCCCCCACCCCCATTTTCATTTTGTTGAAGAAACTGGGTTATTTGTTTCATACCGTCTTCCATGTTCTCTGGGTTTGGTTTACATCTCTTGGCATTAACAATGGTGTTTCTCAAGCTTTAACATGCATAAGAATTACCTAGCAATTTTGTTAAACCCTAGGTCCTATTCAGTAAGTCTGTGATGAAGCCTGAGAAACAGCATATCATCTCTAACAAGCTTTCAGATAGTGCTGATACTGCTGATCCAGGGACTATTCTTCAAGCACTTTTCTATCTTCCAAGTATCCTAAAAACTGGCATTAGATTCTAAGGCTTGTTCAGACTCAAGTTCTGGTAGTTCTCATTCAAGGCTACTTGACAAAGAGAGCTATGTACTTCCTACTATATCAAATCAGAAGGCACATGACACCTCATGATGATACTTTGGTGATGTTAAGACTGATCGGTTTGTTATATTATCAGCTTGATCCATTCATTTTAAAGTTTCCTTTTAACCTTTAACCTAACAGTTGGACATTTAATTTTTAAAAAGCTATGTGATTCTAATATATAACCAGGGGTTGAGAACTAGAATAGCCCATACTCAAGCCACATCCACATGAATTAAATCAGAATCTAATAAAAAGCAGGGTGGGGATGTAGCTCAATGGTGGAGTGTCCCAGGATTCAATCTCCAGTACCACAAAAGTAAATATAACAAAGCACTTCAGGTGTTTCATTGTGTGGTCAAGGCTGTAAGCCACTGCCCTAAAACCTAGAGCACTCTCAATTTTAGAAGAAAAAAGCTCCAAGCAAGAGGCAAGCCAAAGTCTTGGCAGGGAAGCAACTATGCAGTACATTCCATGAGAACTGGGCCATATTAGTGTACAGTATTTCCTTTAATTTTTAGCCCTGAAACTGATAAAACCTTGTTAAATATGACAGTTAAGATTTAGCTGGTCCACGTAATTAAAGGTCCAAAATCCTAGCTTGAAGTTGGAATTGGATAGAGGAGAAAAGAGCCTCCTAAAGTTAACTGATGGTGGCTCAGTACTGAAGAAGCTAGAATCCTAGGAGGTGGCAACAGAAATATGAATGCCAACAGGCTGCAAAGCTGGTCTGTGGGCAAAAGTGTCAGTGAAAGATGACAGCTATTCCCCCTCTCCTCAATGAGTCCTTATTACTCTGAGGTTTGCTTATTTGAAGCTAAAATATACTTTATGAATTTATTAATATAACAGATGGTAGTTTAATTCAATATGTTCACTTGCCAAAAGAAAAGGTTGAAAAATCTGTACTGGCCTCCAAAAATAATACAGTGATAGGATCAAACCCAGGACCTCACACAGGCCAGGCAAATGCTCTATCAATTAGCCTCATCCCCAGGCTTCCAAAAAATAGTTTCAGATTTACTGCCTGGGAAATCCCAACATATTGTTGGTGGGATGATTAAATGATTTATTCTCTAAAGAATGCCATAAAAACACCAAGGATGCAATTCTTTAACCATAAATTTCACTTCTAGGAATTATCCTACAAATATCATGCACATGTGTCTAAAGACAAG